GAAGTGGTACTTTTTCTACTTTGAATTTTTCAAAAGCCTATAACTTGAGTACTATTTCAGATAGATAAATGAAATTTCACATGTAAGTAAAAGATCTAATTCTCTACCTTCTGTTAAATTTTGAGTAATTTCCGTTGACCGGAAGTAGTAATTTACGCTACTTCCGATTTCTCAAAAAACTAATGTAAATTTTTAAAGTACTAATAATATTGCGCACTATTACGCACATTCGGTTTTGGTGCTCGCTTGGTGCGCAATTTTTTTTTCTACTAGATTTTATTCTATTTTTAAAAGTAGTAAACAAAAATCATGTCTATATTCCGAGTTGACATCCCACGTAGTGTTATATTAGAATATTCGAGAAAGTTTAGGGGAGATCACTCCCGGTTTATTAAGAAGTGTGTTTAGTATAACCGGAAATAGGAAAACATCAAATACATCCCATCTTAAGTCAAGCCCATCAAAAAATCAGTCAGGTTTTTACAACCACATTTATTTTTATAACATCGCACCAGATTTTTTAAATATTGTATACAACATTTGGAAACTATTCACGGTCGCTTCCTTTAATCCCCAGGGTCTCCGGGTTGGTGACGTCATCCTTAGCGTCAACGGCACGGACTTCAGCAACATTACTCACGCCGAGGCCGTGGTGGTCATGCAAACAGCCTGGAACGTCATCATGGTCGTCCAGCACCAGACTGACCACACAGGTAACACTAACTGACCACGCAGGTAACACTAACTGACCCCACAGGTGACACTAGACTGACCCCACAGGTAACACTAACTGACCCCACAGGTGACACTAACTGACCCCACAGGTGACACTAACTGACCACACAGGTAACACTAACTGACCACACAGGTAACACTAACTGACCACACAGGTAACACTAACTGACCACACAGGTAACACTAACTGACCACATAGGTAACACTAACTGACCACGCAGGTAACACTAACTGACCACACAGGTAACACTAACTGACCACACAGGTAACACTAACTGACCACACAGGTAACACTAACTGACCACACAGGTAACACTAACTGACCACACAGGTAACACTAACTGACCACACAGGTAACACTGACTGATCACGCAGGTAACACTAGACTGACTACACAGGTAACACTAACTGACCACACAGGTAACACTAACTGACCACACAGGTAACACTAACTGACCACGCAGGTAACACTAACTGACCACACAGGTAACACTGGACTGACCACACAGGTAACACTAACTGACCACACAGGTAACACTAACTGACCACACAGGTAACACTAACTGACCACACAGGTAACACTAACTGACCACACAGGTAACACTAACTGACCACACAGGTAACACTAACTGACCACACAGGTAACACTAACTGACCACACAGGTAACACTAACTGACCACACAGGTAACACTGACTGATCACGCAGGTAACACTAGACTGACTACACAGGTAACACTAGACTGACTACACAGGTAACACTAACTGACCACACAGGTAACACTAACTGACCACACAGGTAACACTAACTGACCACGCAGGTAACACTAACTGACCACACAGGTAACATTTGTAGTAGACCACGCAGGTAACACTAACTGACCACACAGGTAACATTTGTAGTAGACCACACAGGTAACATTTGTAGTAGACCACACAGGTAACATTTGTAGTAGACCACACAGGAAACATTTGTAGTAGACCACACAGGTAACATTTGTAGTAGACTGACCACGCAGGTACATTTGTAGTAGATCACACAGGTAACACTGCCTGTAGACTGACCACACAGGTAACACTAACTGACCACGCAGGTACATTTGTAGTAGACCACACAGGTAACACTGCCTGTAGACTGACCACACAGGTAACACTAACTGACCACGCAGGTACATTTGTAGTAGACCACACAGGTAACACTGCCTGTAGACTGACCACACAGGTAACACTAACTGACCACGCAGGTAACATTTGTAGTAGACCACACAGATAACATTTGTAGTAGACCACACAGGTAACACTGCCTGTAGACTGACCACACAGGTAACACTAACTGACCACGCAGGTAACATTTGTAGTAGACCACACAGGTAACATTTGTAGTAGACCACACAGGAAACATTTGTAGTAGACCACACAGGTAACATTTGTAGTAGACCACACAGGTAACATTTGTAGTAGACCACACAGGTAACTCTTCCTGTAGACTGACCACACAGGTAACACTTCCTGTAGACTGACCACACAGGTAACACTTCCTGTAGACTGACCACAAAGGTAACACTTCCTGTAGACTGACCACACAGGTAACACTTCCTGTAGACTGACCACACAAGTAACACTTCCTGTAGACTGACCACACATGTAACACTTCCTGTAGACTGACCACACAGGTAACACTGGACTAACCACACAGGTAACACTGGACTAACCACACAGGTAACACTGGACTAACCACACAGGTAACACTGGACTGGCCACACAGGTAACACTGGACTAACCACACAGGTAACATTTGTAGTAGACCACACAGGTAACGCTTCCTGTAGATTGACCACACAGGTAACACTTCCGGTAGACTGACCACACAGGGAATATATGTAGTAGACCACGCAGGTAACGCTTCCTGTAGATTGACCACACAGGTAACACTTCCGGTAGACTGATCCCACGGGTAACATTTGTAGTAGACTGACCACACAGGTAACATTTGTAGTAGACTGACCACACGGGTAACATTTGTAGTAGACTGACCACACGGGTAACATTTGTAGTAGACTGACCACACGGGTAACACTGGACTGACCACACGGGTAACACTGGACTGGCCACACGGGTAACACTAACTGACCACACAGGTAACATTGGACTGACCACACAGGTAACATTGGACAAACACACAGGTAACACTGGACTGACCACACAGGTAACACTGGACTGACCACACAGGTAACACTGGACTGACCACACAGGTAACACCAGGCTGACCACACAGGTAACACCAGGCTGACCACACAGGTAACACCAGGCTGACCACACAGGTAACATTGGACTGACCACACAGGTAACACTGGACTGACCACACATGTAACACTGGACTGACCACACAGGTAACACTGGACTGACCACACAGGTAACACTGGACTGACCACAGAGGTAACACTAACTGACCACACAGGTAACACTAACTGACCACACAGGTAACACTGGACTGACCACAGAAGTAACACGGACTGACCACACAAGTAACACTAACTGACCACACAGGTAACACTAACTGACCACACAGGTAACACTGGACTGACCACACAGGTAACACTGGACTGACCACACAGGTAACACTGGACTGACCACACAGGTAACACTGGACTGACCACACAGGTAACACTGGACTGACCACACAGGTAACACTGGACTGACCACACAAGTAACACTGGACTGACCACACAGGTAACACTGACCATACAGGTAACACTGGACTGACCACACAGGTAACACTGGACTGACCACACAGGTAACACTGGACTGACCACACAGGTAACACTGGACTGACCACACAGGTAACACTGGACTGACCACACAAGTAACACTGGACTGACCACACAAGTAACACTGGACTGACCACACAGGTAACACTGGACTGACCACACAGGTAACACTGGACTGACCACACAGGTAACACTGGACTGACCACACAGGTAACACTGGACTGACCACACAGGTAACACTGGACTGACCACACAGGTAACACTGGACTGACCACACAGGTAACACTGGACTGACCACACAGGTAACACTGACCATACAGGTAACACTGGACTGACCACACAGATAACACTGGACTGACCACACAGATAACACTGGACTGACCACACAGGTAACACTGGACTGACCACACAGGTAACACTGGACTGACCACACAGGTAACACTGGACTGACCACACAGGTAACACTGGACTGACCACACAGGTAACACTGGACTGACCACACAGGTAACACTGGACTGACCACACAGGTAACACTGGACTGACCACACAGGTAACACTGGACTGACCACACAGGTAACACTGGACTGACCACACAGGTAACACTGGACTGACCACACAGGTAACACTGGACTGACCACACAGGTAACATTGGACTGACTACACAGGTAACACTGGACTGACCACACAGGTAACACTGGACTGACCACACAGGTAACACTGGACTGACCACACAGGTAACACTAACTGACCACACACGTAACACTAGACTGACCACACAGGTAACACTTCCTGTCATTGTGCGGGTCACAACTTTCTATTCCTCGCAATATCCGCTGCCACTATTGTTAAATAGCCGGGGTGCAGTGTTTCTTTCAGATTTTTTTTTCTCCTTGGGGGTGCACTTGATCCTATCCGGGGGGGGGTATTATTCAGGGGAAGTGGGCGGACACTTTTGTTACAATTATGTAACGGTTTTAGGAGTTATATTTTGTTCGGGGGAAGGGGGGTAAAGTGCTTCAAGGGGAGGTGTACCCTACACCCGAAGTGATACTTGAAAGAAACCCTTCCACGGAGGGAAATATTTATTATAATGACCGACGCTGGAACTTCAATGTATAGTTACCTCTAGCTCGTGGATCCAGACTCGTATTAGCCTCGAATTGTAGTCAAATTTAGACCTTGTGTCTACTCGCTACATATTGTTCTATTTCTCTTGGCGTTGATGTTGAAATGTGCGGTAAAAATGTCTAAATAAAGCGAGGTTAATTCATAAGTTATTCCTAGTAACTATCATCAAGAATCACCAACAACCATCAACTACCCGAATGACTATTTTCCTTATGTCTTTTATCCAAATTTCAACTGTCGAAATGTTGGTCTCCCATTTGTTGTGTTCCCAAAGAGTCAGTACCTCGAAAGCTAAGAGCCTAAAAATACTTGGAACAAACTTAACAAAACCCAATAAAAATTTATTAATTTTTGTTAAAAGAAATTGGTACCTGTTATCTTTCTTGCCAGGAATCGTCACACCGTGCACAGATTCCATGAAGATGTGATATTTATCGTTGGATGTCTCTGTTTCCGCTTTCCCAGAATTCATTGTAGACTCGCTTTGAAATTTGTTTTTTTTTAATGCTTCACAACTCCCAAATCTTTCACGTGATGTTTCTTTAAATGTAGAATAAAATGTCACTTTATCGCTATTTATATCTACATGCCCCTTGTGATAACGTCATTACGTCATTATTTTTTTTTAGACATTTTATTTTTGACTTGTAATTAAATGCGGACGCACAAGTAGACACTTTCTCGGTAACGTTCACACATTTAACACTGGTAATCACATCTAACCCGACATGCTTCAAATACGTTTTTTGTTAAATTACCGAGTTTGAAATAACAGTTTGTGATTTACACTACACAATAAAATAACAACTAGGTCGATTCGTCATACTTGCATATTCTCAATATTTTAACACATCAGTATCCTTGTACCAGCTCTTGTTATCCAATTATAACATACATTAACTAGCTCCAAATATAAATCTACTGTAAAACATAGCCCCAAGGGATAGTGTTCTTATCGATAATACGAACTATATTCCTACGAGCCGGCCCGCGGCATAACATACGCCGCTATTTAGTCTAATATATAAAGCTCAGTTCTGTATGTAATGCATATGTTTGTCGCTGGTCTTGGATGGATTAAAGTGTTATAATATTATCGTGCGCATTTCTCTAAATTTATGAGTTAAAAAATTACTATTGAAAGTGTTGGGAAATAATTTTCATTTTTCAAATTATAGTAATAATTGTCGGCGTGTTCATTAAACACAAGTTTTAAAAAAAATATCATCTTTTACAAAAATTCTAATTATGTCTTTATTTAGTCCTATAGCATTTACTTCCCTTTGATAAATTAGGAAAACACAATTACTTCCCTTTATAAAACCATTGAATTTTTGGACAAGAATTTACTTTTTAATTACTTTGTTTTGGTGTTGGGAAAAAAATAATTACATAATTAGCGGGGATTGATCAAGTGCAAATGTTGTAGGTATTTTACGGATAAGCTTGGAGTATTATAATTGTTCATCAAATTGAAACAGGCGCGTTCGTTTAAGTGAGTGCAAAAGACTATGAATAAGTTGGGGTACTATAGTCGTTCATTAAGCTAAAACAGGTGATTCCGCCCCGGGCGTTTATGTTCGCGTTAGTGTTTTCTTTGTGTTTAGGTGGGTTTGCGTTAGTGGTTGCGTTTTGATTTGGTTCGTTTTTGTTCTTTCTTTTTTCGTTTTTATTTGTGTTTTTTTGTTTGGGTTTGTATTTGTGTTTTTGGTTGGTTTTGCGTTTGGATTTGGTTTGTTTTCGTTTGCTTTTTCGTTGTTTTTTTTTGTTGGTATTGGTGTTTGTGGTTGGGTTTGTTGTTAGGTTTTTGTTTTCGTTTGCTTTTTTGTTTGTTTTTTCTTTGTGTTTGTATTGGTGTTTGTGGTTGTGGTTGGGTTTGTTGTTAGGTTTTTGTTTTCTTTTGTATCTGTAATTGTGTTAGCGTTATGTTTGCGTTTTGTTGTTTTGGTTGGTTGTGGTTTGGGTGGGCAATGCCGGGTTTATGATGATTACTAAACACACAGGTAATAGTCTTTAACAGAAAGGTTTTTCACAGAAGCCAGAGCAGGGCCTGGCCGGGACGGCTAGTTGTTTCTAATTTTCAATAATTCATAATTTGTGAATTCGACAGTACCAACGCTGACACTGAAAATATTTCTTTAAAACACTATAAGTAGCTCGTTAAGGACCATAACCCCCCCCCCCCCTTCCTTCCCTCCCCCCCCTCCTCCCCCCCCCCCCCCCCTACGTTTAAAATCGTTGGCTCTGCTTGTAAACATTTAGAGTGAACACAGCTCACTAAAACCATGTAGGGGTGGGGAGGTAGGGAGAGCGTTTGCAGCTTGTTTTCTAACGGCTCGAAGAAGAGAATTATATATATAGATAGATGTTAGTAGGGCCAATCAATAAAACATAACACATCCAGGTTTCACTTGCCAAAAATGAGACGTTACGATCATAGTTTTGATAGCCACCAGGTTTCATTAAATAATTAGACATTTTATCATCCATTATACATCCACCCGGTTTCACTAAATAATTAGACGTTAAGATCATCACTAAATTATACATCTCCAGGTTTCATTAAATTTCATTAATATCATCAATTATACCTCCATCAGGTTTCACTAATTAATTAGACATTAATACCACCATCCATTATACCTCTACCAGGTTTCACTAATTACACATTAATATCACTCAATCATACCTCGACCAGGTTTCATTAATTAGACATTAATATCACCACCCATTATACCTCCACAGATTTCACTAATTAATTAGACACATTATACCTCCACCAGGTTTCACTAATTAATTAGACATTAATATCCCCACCCATTATACCACCACCAGGTTTCACTAATTAATTAGACATTAATAACCCAATCCATTATACCTCTACCAGGTTTCACTAATTAATTAGACATTAATATCACCATCCATTATACCACCACCAGGTTTCACTAATTAATATGACATTAATATCCCAATCCATTATACCTCCACCAGTTTTCACTAATTAATTAGACATTAATATCACCATTCATTATACTCTAGCAGGTTTCATCAACCAGCCACTACACAGGACCATCGATTTTTTCTTACACCCTTCACACAATGAAAAACTCGGATGTGAAGTGGACAGGTACGTCTTTGCTCAAATTTCCTTCTAGTTTGCACATCGTGATGAAGTAATGATTTCATCGTGATGAAGTCTTCGTCTTTTTCTGTAGAGCAGATGAAGCAGAGTTTATCTGTTTCAATCACCTCTGCAACAGTGTGGTCAGCACTATGTCTAGCTTTTTTAAAGTCTTCTTTTTTGAAGTCAGGCATCCTTCAGAGTTGGGTGGACTCAATGGGATTTTATTTAGTTACAGAAAATACTAAAAACAACGAATATGTCGAATCTGGAGGAAAAAAAAGACAAAATACCATAAAACCCGTTTTTTTTTTAAAATAATAACATAAGTTTTAATATCCCTACACGTGATTTTTCATTATATTTTAATAGCCATTTCTTGAGCGCAAACCATCGGCTTTTACACGCAACAAATATAATTATTTTCCATCGTTGCAATGCGTCATAAAATAACCAAACAAAGATGTAATACATTATATATACATATATACATACATATATACACATATATATATATATATATATATATATATATATATATATATATATATATATATATATATATATATATATATATATATATATATATATACATGGCCTATATAAATATTGTATGTGTATGCCTAAACGCTGTCTTTTTATCAAGAAGTTCACTCTTTTTGTCACATCAGGAGACAGTTATCAAATTTACAGTGAGGTTTATTTTCCTTCAGTATTTTTACAAGACTTTTCTCGAACCCAAACGCCGACAAAATCCTTAACATGATACCGTATTGTATCTTAGCATTGTCCCTGAATTTTTTTTATAATCAGGTATTTGTTTTATCGGGGAAATAAAAACGAAAGTGTAAACTAGACATGACCTCGGTGTTTGTCTAGGGTAATCTGCACATGAGCGAATACACACTCTCTATGCCTAAGGCGTGACGAAACTATTTATGTTCGAACAGTTTTTTCTGCATGTTTTATTTGTGTTTTACTGTTTGCATTGGTACAGGGATGACAATGAAAACTTAATCGTGACTAAAGTCGAGACGAACTCTGCTGCATGCAAATCGGGGCTGAATATAGGTGACCGTATCATAGAGGTACTTTATTACTACTTTCATATATGTCTAGACATGTGCTTAGTAGGCAGAGGTCCGTTTGAGCACTTGCAGCCAGTGTTTCTTTCACGCATCTCTCCGGGGATGGGGGACTGCGCCCCGTCCTCGCGCCAAATAGAAAAAAAATTATTTAAATTCAATTTGCCACCCACCGCTCAACCCCGGGAAAATGTCAGAAAGAAGTCATGCTTTGTACCCATCGCCCGTAGGTAACTCAATTTTGCTTCCTCTATTTACGTATACATTAACGTCCTTTTTACCCTGTAGCATCTGCACTGAATGTCCTTTTTGAATATTTACAACTCAAAACTTGCGCCCTCCTACAATGCCACCCCACTGGTTCTACCCTCCACCCCTTGATCATATATTTCAAACAATTTTTTTTATTAATCTCCCTTTTTTCCTTAAGGTTTACTTTCGCCATTTAGATCTGTATCTTTTCAAAAATTTTCATCAATTTAATAACCATTTATGTCCAATACTTAACTTCTAAGCTGACAGATATATTTAACCATAAGGTCACCGTTGTCTAAAACTTAGCCATACAATCTAAATTGCTTTTAAACTAATTACGCTAATACATCCTAATCAAACCCGTCTACAGATTGACGGGATCCCCGTGTCCAGTTTAACAGATAATCAAATTATTGCACTGACCAAAGTCAAAAGAATTCGACTGACCATTTCTAGAGTATTAAGTGAGTACCTTTGATAAAACGTTTTCAGTTTATACTGAATGTTTTTATGTACAAAGTCAATACAACATCCTTTAGAAAAATGTGGATAATAAATAAAGAGGATTGGGGGGGGGGGGTAGAAATTACTTCAAACTCTGCATCGGACTTGGGGAGATATTGTGACGTTACACTTTTGCAGCTTAAATTTTGTCAACATTTCAAGCTCTTGTGACAAACTTTGGTCCACCCAGCTCTAATGGGTACCTGGCATGTTTATGTGATACCCCCAGTCCACCCAGCTCTAATTGGTACCCGGCATGTATATGTGATACCCCCCCCAGTCCACCCAGCTCTAATGGGTACCCGGCATGTATATGTGATACCCCCCAGCTCTAATTGGTACCCGGCATGTATATGTGATACCCCCCCCAGTCCACCCAGCTCTAATTGGTACCCGGCATGTGTATGTGATACCCCCCCCCAGCTCTAATGGGTACCTGGCATGTATATGTTATACCCTCAGTCCACCCAGCTCTAATGGGTACCCGGCATGTGTATATGATACCCCTTAGTCCACCCAGCTCTAATGGGTCCTGGCATGTATATATACATGTGCATTGCCTGCCTGAAGCTCGTGTACTTAACTTTTGTCTTCACATCCGTGAACAATGCCACGAAAGTCATGTCAGATTACATAATCAGCAAGAACGATAACTTGATTTTTTTTTTTTTTGCTTGGGGTACAGAAAACTTTCTAACGATTGCTATAAAAATATTCCCTTCGGTTATTTTTCATATTACTTTGTTTCTTTTCTTCTTCAGGGCAAAATTTTAATGCTCAGCCTTTTTATACTGAAAGGTAAAAACTAATATTCGTTACAAAAAATAAATATAAATATTTATATTCTCTTATGTATATATTTTTAAATTTACAATAAGATTATAAAATAGAGGTCACGTTTGTTTTTAGATTTCCTTCAGAAACAAAATGTGTCTAAAATACTTTCTTAAAACCAAAAGCAGTAACAAAAACATCCTTGTGACAATTTAAGTTTAAAATTGTGTTGTCTCCCTTTTTTTTAAGCAAACTCGTTGATGTCCCTTCGAAGAATCCCATTCAGCCCCGCAGAGAAGGGAGGTCAATAGCCTTACCGTTTGGTGACTACAACAAGCCTCAAGCCAGCTACACAAATTGGACTAGCTCGCACCTCTCATACCGTGGACGGCAGCTATACTATGTTGGTTATCTTTAACACACAATCAAATTCTTTTTAATTGCACCCCCCCCCCCGCCTTTTTCCCCACATTTAACTTTATGTACATCATAAGGGCTTTCATGATATACAAAGGGAAACAACTAGTGATACCTTTTTTTTTTAATTTCAAAGTAAATACTGTTAAAATTCACTTAACTGGAATAAGTCATTTGCTTGATATGAAATATTCCTAGATCTATGTATATTTTAAACATGTTTCTATTTTAATGTTATATTTCTATTGTATTTTTACATGTTTTACTGACTATACAAATCAAAGTTGAGATGTACAAATGTAGAAGTTGTAGATTGGGTGATGACTGAACATATAAGTATTGCTTACAAATTTTACATTTTAAAAGTCTAAATTTTTAAATAAGAATATTTCTACTATTTCTAGTCAATACACAACCAGTTGAATTGAATTTGTTTATATTTTAACTGGCATGCTTTATTATATTTTTAAGTAAGATGTCCTAATTAAAAAAAGGTACTTAAGTTTTTTAAAAGGTTTTCATCATTGAATTTTCTCTTTGTTACCTTATTTAATTTAATGGTTGATGCAATTTAATGCCAAATTTTAAAAAATTTTCTTCAGTTATTTTATTTAAATTCAATCACAATCATCAATGCAGTGAGAATTTCACTCATTTTTGATTGGTTTTTAACTTAAAACACGAGTCAAGCTCTTATTCTTTGCTCTTAAAAAAGTTTGAAGGTGATAAAGTCATACATGTTAACTTGTTATGCGCCATATTGGCTGTTGACACATGAGTCAAATATCGGCATTTTCTTTTTGGATTTGCTTTCATAGACTTTGTCCAAGAACAAACTACAAGACAGCAGTTATTAAATTTTGGAGTTATCTCTCCTTGATGGGTTGCTATAAAGCATCATCTGCATGGTGTTAATCAATGAGCCTTACCGACCTGAACTCTCAGACCCACCCCCAAGGTTTGATAACAAAATGTAAAGTGACAAGAAGTTTAACCAAAGCAACATCACCAGACAAGCACTAGGTAGGCCAAAACAAACTTGGTGAAGATCTTTTGTTAGTGAAGCAACAGGAATATCATGGGCCCAACTTGTAGGAATCTCCCAAAACTGTGTGATAGAGAGGTGCGGTTTGGTCCCTATGCTCCTCAAAAGGTGCACAGGAATGATAATGAGATAATTTTAAAAAATGTAAAAAATGTAAGATTTCTATACAATTATTAAGTACTGATTGCATAGCACTTCACACATTTAGTGCATTCAGTGTGCCTGCAAAATTCTTATTAAAAAGTAAAAAGAAATTTTTTTAAAATTGAAATGACTTCATATAGAATGGTTGTCCCAACAAATAAGAAAATTTTGGTATCTCTATTGAAATAAAAAGTTAACTTGCTATTTTTGTGTACCAGTAGTACCAGTCTATTTCTGAAAGTAGTATATTAGAATATATATCAATTTAAATTAGTAAAAATTGCAAACTTGAAAAATTTTTAGTGACACTGTTTAAATATATAGATTTAGTATTTTTATTAATTGGATATTCTCATTTAAGCTTACATATTCAATCAACTCTTCATAGCATCACATAGATAAAAAAACAAACAACACTCATACAATCCTAGTTGCTTTCTAAAATCAAAACATTCAAATATATATCATGAACAACTTTTCTGAAATCACTCATACAAGATTGATAACAAATTCCCATTACAATAGAACATTCTAATAATAAAAAACATTCCATGTATTGCAATCATGTTTTGTCCCCAGGTTTAAGAGGGATAATGACCCATCCATTTTTAGCATCTTTTAAGCTCCACCATCTCCCCATCCGATGTTCTTGCCCGACCCCCGCCACAAGAAAATCTCCATTACTTGAAAACTTTAAACTGTTCACAAAGCCTTTCTGTAGATACAAAATCGAAAAATAAAATTTAGCACACGTCAATGTCAATCTATTATATTTTTATTATTATCCCTGTACACAACACAGCTACAAATAAGAAAACAAAACAATGTTAAAATAATGGTAAAATACCCACCACTTTCACACTAAATAACAGCGTTAAGGATTTAAAGTCCTTGCTACATTTCCACAGCCTTACATGTCCATCTTTAGAGCCTAAAAATAAAAAGATTTCTCAATAATTTAATCAGGATAGTAAGGCCACCGCAGTGATTAAAATGGGCATGTATTTTAAACTCATCCCTCCCTGCATCATTATATTACCTGAAGCCACTAGATCTGAGTACTGTAAGGCAGCAACAGATGTGATCCAGTGTTGATCTCCTACACCTAGAGTCAGCCCGTGAGCATTTTTCACAGTGGTTAACGGTTTCTTTTTCAAGACACTCCATAAGCTAACAGAGCTGAGAAAGTTAATCAATTAGAATGTAATTTTTACCATTTATAAAATGACCCACTTTAAGATTTAAGCTTATAACATGACATCCAGAGACAAGCATTTCTTTAAACAATAATTGTGATTTTATTAATAACACTGAAGTTGATTATAATTATTTCTTTGTAGTTTTGTGGAAAGAACAACTAGAATATTTTCTTTTTTTTTCATTATTAATTGTAAATGTTAGAAGGGATTTTCTCCAGTATAATTGGGTATTACATGTCCATGTTTTTTTTTTTTTTACATGTCCATGTTATGCACTATACAGGCAGTTGACATTTTCATTAACTTACTTATCATCTGCACCAGTAAAGAAATTGCCTTCATTGATTAGAGAAACACATTCAATTGAAGCACTGAAAACAGATAAAAACAGAATTTCTTTTGATTAAATCAGTCACAAATAATTAAATAGTCTGCAGATGAAATAGTTTGAATATTGTAATGTGCAAAATGTAATGTGATAAAACTAATCTTTTAAACAGGTTAGTGTGGTATTGAAAAAAGGCTTCTTTAAAAAAAAAAAACCTACTCATGCCCGTGAAAAAGCAACTGTGAATCTTCACTGATTTTCCATATGTGCACTGATTTATCCCTCCCTCCAGATGTGATGGCTCTATCTCTTGTCAAGCTGTCTATCCCTGTTATAGGAGAATTGTGACCAAACCTGGAAATAATTTCATGAAGAAGATAGTTAAGACACATCAATTTCTTTGCAAGTAAATAGAAATGTGCCTGACTGATTAAGTTAAAAATCAATCAACAAAAACAATACATCAAAAAGTAAGTTTTAAAAAAAACTGAATTATATTATGAAAATACAATAATTTGTAATTTTTCTTGAGGTATTTTTTAACAGACTAGTGGAAATGAATATAGCCCTGCACACATTGTAAGGAAATGTTAAAATAGCATAACGTACAAAGTTTCTACATAAGCCAGATCATCAACACTCCACACTTTGACCACCTTATCTGCTGAACAACTAAACAGTGTGTGAGTTCCTTTCCTGAACGACAGACCCTGGAAATATATTAGGAAAAATTGTGTCTATTCTTAAGAGACAACAGAATAAATTAAGCCATTTTAAAAATATATATATAAACTTATCTGCCATACACTATAACACTTTAGGAATACTTACAGTGACAGGCCCCCTATGGCCTTTAAATTTATGTATAAAACTGCAGTCTACTGGGTTCCACAGCTTTATCATACTACACAAACCACCGGCAGCCTATTAAAATATTATATTTATTAATTTAGATAATGCCAATTTAAAAAATCATATATTTTTTCACATTTGTTTAAAATGAAAAGCAATGTTAACTGACTGAAAGTACTATAGAAAATGCATGAAAAATAAAGCTTTACCAAAAACTTTCCATCACTTGATATGGCTAAACACAATATATGCTCTGTGTGTCCTATGTGGACGTCCTCTGTTCCTTTCTTGCCACCTCTAATTGTTTTTTCTTTCAATCCAGTGCTTAAATTCCCTGAGAAGCCAAAAAGCTGCATTACAATCAAGTTTTTATAAAGTTTAACAGTCAAATTCTAGAATAAGGCAAGTTAAAAACAATTTTCTAAAATTGATTTTTACTAATTGAGTATCACTGTCTAATAATTTCTTTTACAAAAAGAGATTTATAACAATTATAGTAGTCACTAAGTTCATAATGTGAAAATAACTTTCCTAACAGTTGTTGTAAAGGAAAAAAACTTACATTTACATATATTACAATCTTTACTAGCTGTAAAAACAAACTTGTCATCAGGGGTTATAACAATGGCTGTCACTGAAAGACTGTGTCCACGAAATATTCGCAGATCTTGCTCTTGCGGGCATGAACACTAAATGTTGGGAATAAAATTTTCTTACGCTCTGTCCAACATATTATGGCTTAATTGTAAATATATTACTGTATGTTTTTACTTACAAAAACAATGTATGCATAACAAAAATAGTCTTTTCATAGTTATATTTTAGAAAAAGGCTGTCTTTAAAATAAACATAGCAAAGGTATTTAAGTATAGCTGTTCTACTTACCAGGTCTGCTATTTGCTTCGTTAATTTACCAGCTTGTTCAGACTATACAAGATGAAAGTAAAAAATAGAAATCTAAATCTAATAAAAATGAACAAAATTCATAAAAATATTATCAGATTGCTTTTTTTTTTGTTTAATAGTGTTGTAATGTTGTGCTTAGTAATCTAAGACAAAGAGAATATTTTATTTTTCAATGGACTATTTAGCAATTAGTTAATACACAACAATAAATCAGCAATGAGCAATTATAAAATGATACAAAATATGGACTGATACATTTAACATTTCACTTCAACTCACAATGTCATTTTGAAGTCTACTTGAGACTGCATCTCTTAAGTTTTCTTCATCTGCTTTTTTATCAGCTTCTACAAAAACAATTTCAATTTGTTCAGAATGTTAACCTACCAAACATTGCGCTAACTCAATTTTAATATTTCATTACAACTATAGGAGAATCCTTATATTTACAAGTTCTGTAGGTTTGTCTCTACCAACAAAGTGTATCTTTTGTACCACATATACATCATAATCAATATTTACATTCTTCTTAGGGTCTCAATTTACGCTCTGGTATTTAAATGACGCTAACCTTCTTCCTCTAGTTTTGAAAGATACTCTTTTGCCAAACGTAGACGTTTTTGCTGTGCTGTTTCTTCTTCCTCTTCAGAACTGTACACTTTATCTCTTGTCTCTGTGAAGTCATTACTACTGGATCAGGAAAAAAAGCAAAGTATTTTGAGTTCAACACTTTCAAACTTGCCATCAATTTGTTCAATTGACAGTTTATTAAAATATTATCAAACAATGATCAAGGAATAAAATTTACATCCTAATTAGGCCTAATACATAGTAACTTAATATCAAACCTATCAACATCTGATTCACTTTCCACTTCTTCTGAAAGTGCACTCTTTGCTTTAGATGGATGTTTCTTGGATTTTCCCTTTTGGTCCTTAAAAGAAAAATATAAAAATTCAGCCTATTAAAAATGCTTAGGCTTATGTTTTACATATAATACATGTTCTTATAAATAAATCCTTATTAGCTATTCCTACAACCCAACAGATAAACTGGCAAAAATCACAAGTACATTATTAAAGCATACATAATTTAGAAATTAGTATTTTATCAGTTACTCAATTCCATCTCATTTCTAAACTAGCATTGAGTGATAGCAGTAAACTGTGAGATTAAAAAATAAATGCCATGACGGCCACTTCATCTAGTCTACAGTTTTTTAGCCCACTTTGACTTTGACAGATTTCATTTTGAGTATCATGCCAGACATTTTCCAACATCTGCTAGATCTAGATATTATTGCAAGGCCTACTAAATTGTTTCCAGAATACAAAGCATGATATTCAACTTATGACATAATTTATTAATTTAATTTAAATAAATTGTTACGCTCAGAGCTCTGCCTATAGAATAGTTCAATAGGGATAGACTATCCCCTATACTATATATACTATAGGCCCTATAGTATATTTTTTATATTTCTAAATTACTTGATCTAATGACATTTTGAATATGAAATAAACTGTACAAAAACAAACCTTGGAACCAAATTTTCTTTTGCGGGACTTAATGAAAAAAGACATCACACCAGGAGAAGACGTAAAAAATCAGAAAAAAGAGTGGACTAGAAATGTAAATGGATTAATGAAGAATCTACAACAATATAAACTGCATGAGTAAGAGTGTGTATAGGATAGAGTATAGAACTAGATCTAGTCTAGATCTACACTAGAATCTAGATCTAGGTTTTAAATCTAGATCTATGTTGATAAATTAAAATTTGTTATCGAAACACTAACACTAGTGTAATATTTTTTAAAGCATGTGTTGTACAATATTGGTTTATCTAAATAACGGAATCCAACATATTAAAAAATAACGCAACACCCTGCTAATTTAAATTAATAGAATTAGTAACGTTTATCACATTATTTTATGATATGTTATATAGGCCTACTTATGTAGATAGTAACGTTGTATTGAAATATTTATTTATCAGAACTTATGTGAACGGTATGTTAATGCCTTTCCCCTATGATTTTTTTTTTGCATAAAACCCATCAAATAGACAAATAGCATAATTTCAGTGGTGACTTTTTCTGAAAATTAAAATAAAAATTAATAAGCTAGGACAGTCTCTGATAAATAATAAAAATAATCAAGGTGAAATGGGTGTGCCTATCTGTACCTCCCAGTTGGTTAATGAAGACGCCTTTCATGTTGAAGGCGTGTGTGCCTCACTTTTGGTTTACAGGGCGCTTATCGTATGGTCGGTACCTCTAAGTTGGTTAATGAATGCACCCTTCTTGTGATTGACACATTTTACTGTATTTGCTGTTAAGCGATGAGTATCACCAACATCGTTCTAATCGTCGAGACGAAACAACAACATTCCTTCTCCGTGATTTTCTAGGCCAGTTCCACTTCACTGTTTTGTTGTGTTTCATTCCTTGGCTTTGATACTCATGCAGTGCCGGCGCCAGGTTATTTAGCGCCCTAGGCAAAACTTATTAAAAGCCCCCCCCCCCGCAATTTTTTTCGTGCCCCCGTATTATCAGAGGCGTAGCGACCCTTCCCGGCTCCCGGAGACGAAACTTTCGATTTGCACCCCCAACCCCCCTCAAACTTTCAATTTGTTTTTCCAACCCATTTTATCGCCCCCTACGGACAGCGCCCTAGGCAACCGATTTGTTCGCCTTATAGGCAGCGCCGGCCCTGTACTCATGCTATTCTACACAAGGCATGTTCTATCCATACCCACTTTCGGGTTTTAATATATATCTCTCTCTCTCTCTCTGTGGACCGTTGTTCAGTGATCAGATCCCATGATATAAAAACGTAAATTTGTTGTCTGCTGTTTAAAAAACGACCCATCAATCCGCCAACCACAAATAACAAATTTTTTTTAAAAAATAAGTTGGCAACTTTTTTTTGAGCCTATGGGACTCCTTTTGGATCTTGTCCAGATAAGTTCTGCCAATAATACAAAAAAGTGCTCGAGATTAAAAAAAAGTTAAGCCCCGCCACTTGTGACATTTCTGATGTCTAGACATTGAATATCTAAACGCACGCCATAAAAACAACTTCTTATCCACCTTTAGAGTTGGGGTTATGATTAATGTTATTGTTTAGGTTAGGGTTAAAAGTACCATAATACAGACCTTTTCATGCAAATTATCAATAACATGTCCCAATTCCACCCTCTTCTATAAAATCTAAAAGAACGATTTTCATATCCTTTTTTATAATCTTTTTGGGGTGGCGGGTGTTGACTTTTTGGCGGGGCTTATCTGTACAAGATCCCTTTGAAAAGAAAAAAAAAGAAACATGCTTTGCTGTTGTTTTTTTTTTTTGTTTTTTTTTTAATATTATATATTTGGTTTTTGAAACTTCTGCTGTATAATGTCATCAACACACATATTAAGAACAACATTAATGCCGCAGCAATTTCCAGACTATTTGTTTCTGCGACAACCTACCCTACCCATTCCACCTCCAAAAAAATCTTGACGCCTTCCTTCAAAATAAAGTCTTCATAATATAGACTATAAGTAAGCCAAATCAGTGGCGTAGCGAGGTCGGGTGTCACCCGGTGCTGCACTTAATGGTAACACCCCCAGAGGCGTAGCGACCCTTCCCGGGGACAAACTTTCAATTTTCGATTTGCACCCCCCCCCTCAAACTTTTGATTTGCACCCCCCCCCCCCTCCCTCCCTCAAACTTTCGATTTGCATCTCTTAAAACACTATTTAACGCTCGATTTAATCACTTAATTTAGTGGAATTATCATTTTTCTCTATATATTTTGCTATTTTTTGCTTTGGTGTCACCCCCTAAATGGTGTCACCCGGTGCGTTGTGCAGATGAAAGGGAACTGGGAAGGAGAATATGTAAGGGGTGCTTTACTAATTACTTTTCTACAGAGTTATCCGTTACATAACATGGATCATCCAGTTATAATATCAACACATTTCTGATAATTTAAAAAATAGGTTTCTAGCATTAGCCAACTTTTTTTTTTACAATGTAACCATATAGTTACATCTATATTATGCGTACATAATTCGTATTATACTTGAATTGCATTTAATCACTTGTAATTGATTCTTTTAAGAGAAAAAACAAACATAATAAGTGTGAAAGAGGAGGTAAATGATATTTAGGCCTATTTGTAAAAGAGATCAGAATTTCGATCAAGGCTGGCGTGTTAGTTTATTCTTGATTGTCGGTCGAGTGGCAGCTGTGCGGTGTCTACTAAACTTTAGGTTCTATCGTCTGCGTAACTACAGAACATATGTTTTGTCCGGTTTCTGCTGGAGGTAGACCTCGTCGTATGCATGTATATTCTGAGTTTATTGTTTGGGGTATTTCTGTATGTCTTTCTATAGATGGTGTTTCCAGTTTCGCAGTATCCGCATTAAGTAATAAAACAATAGGTAGTGTTAGTTTCATCTCACTGCAGCTACCATTTGTATTTATTCGTTTTAAGATTGCTACACTATGCTTTGTGATGTGAGATGTTTCATCATGATTATAACTCTGTTTTGGATGGGAATCTTCTATATACTCAGTGCCGGCGCCAGGTTATTTAGCGCCCTAGGCAAAACTTACTAAAACGCCCCCTTTCACACAAATTAATTACTAAAACATATGTATAAGAAAACAATAAATTAAAAGTGTCGTATTAATTTATTATCAATTGCATGCACGTTATACGTAGACATTAAAATCAAATTGTACTTGCCTCTTTCGTCTCAAAAGTTCGAACTAATTCCTTCAATTCCAGTTTGCAAGCGTAATTACATTTCATTGAAATTGTTGCTAAGTCCACGAGTCTACTTTATAATTTACGACATTGCCTCCCCCCCTTCCCTAGAAAATTGTAAGTGCTTCCCGCCCCCCCCCCCCCCCTACCAGGAGAAAAAAGTCTGGGGAAAAAAACACTGAAAAAAAAGTTCTTGTATTGTTGGGCTCTCTGCAGTCCTCACAAGGTGAGCTCCAAAACGGAACTTACCTGTTTTAAGCTTGACTGTCTTTAGTTATAAATGTTTAATGTCTATATTGTGTGATTGTGTAACGATTTTTTTTTTAAATAAAAGGTTATAAATGTTATAGATTCCAGCCTAAAATTGTTATATATGAATCCTTTAGGAGAGGGTGATAAATATGAAAAGACAATTAATTAGATGTTTAATTTACGACTAAGACTGTTCGTCTACAAACATTAAGTATTGCAATCTACAACGGCTACTGATGTATTTGTTTTTCAACTTGATAATGCTATAAATACCCACCAAACTATTTTGTTTAGAATTTAAGCTTTATATAATTTTTACAATTGCAAATAATAACTTAAAGTTGTATTTATATGTAAGCGGTCAACCTGAGGTGCAGGAATTTGAAAGGAATGTAAAGTTAAGCAACGAATTATCTCCCATTTGAAAATCCAAATAACAAAATTTTATTCAAGGGAAATAGCTTTCACAAGAATAGCTTAATAATTAACCAAGTGTAACTAAGACATGTATGAAAAACACAATAAAACGTTATAAATTTTATTACGTAATAATTATAATACATCTTTTATATTAGCTATGTAATCTTGTAAAAACAATATATTTTACCTGTAGGTTTTGTTTGAAAGTCTAAAAACGGTAGCTTTACTATAATATACTTCTATTCAATTTTGATGACATACACTTACGCGAGTTATCTGTACAATATAAATAATATGAAATTTTGGATCCCCTAAATAAAGGGACGTTTTTTAGAAAATCAATCATGGGTAACTGTTTTAGACATTTGCCAGAATTATTGATTAAATTTAAAAAAATATATTATTCGACAAAACAAAATATACGGTTAATCATAATTTCCATCCTATTTAATATTGTATATTAGTACTTTAAGAGGGGTAATATAGATTCTTAAAAAACTAAAGATTTTTCAACTAGAGAGCGCCTACCTTTCTTTGTAGTGTGTTCCGTACTGAATTGAAATAAGGGGTCATCCATTTATGACGTCAACAGTTTTTTTGGATTTTGCCCCCCCCCCCCCCACCCCGTCCACAAAAAATCCAATTTTTTTCCTTGTACAAGTCCATATGCGTCAACAAAAGTCAGTTTTTTTCGGACCCCCCCCCCCCCCTCAGCATCTATAAATAATATATGCTATAAAAAATACAACCGACAACAATAAACATACACAATTTTACAATTTTCAACAAATAAATCAAAATATTTCTGAAAATATTTTTTTTTTACTTTTTTTCTGTGACTTTATTTCTGTGACTTTTTTTCCAATAAAATTTTTCCATTGTTTATTTTTTTTTCTGTGACTTTTTTCCTAGCAAAAACTGCGACTTTTTTTTCTGTTTTTTTTTCCTGTGACTTTTTTTCCGTTACTACACTTTAACAGTCAATATAATTCGATACCTTAATACCACAAGAATCAATACCCCCGAACTCCAGAACTACGATTTTTCATCACCTGCATTATCATTTCTCTATTATCAATCAAATTCCATTAGACCTTCAACTACGAAACAGCCGAATAAAAATTATGACACTTTAACACTTTATCAGAGGCGTAGCGACCCTTCCCGGCGCCCGGGGACATACTTTCAATTTGGCGCCCCCCTTGGGAGCAAATTTTCGATTTGCACCCCCCCCCCCCTCGAACTTTTCATTTGCACCCCCCCCCTCGAACTTTTCATTTGCACCCCCCCTCAAACTTTCAATTTGGCGCCCCCCCTAAGGTCGGCGCCCGGGGACATATGTCCCCGCCCCCCCCCTCGCTACGCCTCTGCACTTTATACCTATGAAACCATATCAGCAACAGCCTTCCGCCGTTACTCCCAAATCTAAACGATTCATCAAAACTTACCAAACAAGTGCAATACTTTGAACACCCCGTCATTACAAAACTCTGTACACCAGGACGGATTTCTAATTCAAAGTCAGAGAAAACGAGACTTACAAGCCCTATTAAAATTATATCATCTTTTGAAATGTTCGAAATTTAAATTACGATCCGAACTTATTTAATTGTTTTCCACATCAATTATGTGACACCAAATTAAAAAGACAAAGTCATAAAAAGCGCCCCGACCTTTCCAAATTAGGGAGGTGGGGTTGCATTTTCACCATCGCGAATAAATATACGCCTATATAGACCTAATTCTGGGGTGGGGTGCAAAATTAATAGTTTGTCCTGGGTGCCCAAATAGATCGCTACTCCTTTATAAAAGTTATTAATAATTAGGTACTTTTTTATAGTAGCGATTAAACATTTTGCGCCCCACTTAAGGATGGCGCCCTAGGCGACCGCCTAATTCGCCTTATAGATATAGGTCGTAGCGCCGGCCCTGTATATACTGGTTTAGACCTAGCTCATAAGTTTTTTTTTTAAACCAGATGGCGTACTATGTGCAGAGTTTCTTCAAGGCATCTTTTCGAAGTGGGGGCAGGGGGGGGGGGGGGGGGGGGGGGAAGGACTAAATTTTCCGGGTGGGCGACCACTGGTAAAAGTATATATTTTTCTGTTGGGGAGGGGGGGGGGGAAAGGGGCAGTAGACTGGCTTCAGGGGGGGGGGGGGGCGGACGACACTATAATACGAATACTGCTTCAGTTAGGTGGATAAATTTTATATATAAGTACAAGGTATTGTACGCAAGTTTCTGTCGACTTTTGAGTGATTTTATGGTAATCGAAAGTGATTTTTTAAATTCTACTTCCGTGTGAACATGAGACTTTATTACCGTTTCAGTTAGGAAGATGCTATTTCATATAGATCTACAAGTATTAGCGGAGGGAGTACTTTATTACATAAAAACCTTCATAATTTGAAAATTATATGTAGACTGTATTCTTCTAACATTTTGCGTATTTGCGTCTTCTCGAAAAAGAGCGGTATTTTCACAAACTTCTATAACCCGGTTCCGCTTGAAGTACTAGCCTAACCCTTACTTTTAAATAAGAATATACCAGAAGGTTTAGGGAAACTCGCGCCTTTTTAAATATATTCCTTTTAATATTTTATGTGTTGTTGTTTCTGTGTCCATTGCTGTCTGTGGCAGTATAGACTTGGAATTAGGGGTTTCTGGAGTTATTTTCTGCGTTGCTCTAATGGTGAAGACTTGGAGGCGGTTAGCCGTGGTGTGCCTTATTCCCTGCTGCATCTTCGAATGCCTGTAGTGGTGTTGAGTTTATCTATAGAGTCCTTTCATATGACGTCACGTCCGTTCGTGATACCTACGCCCGCCGCCACAGTGGTGTACACCAGACGTAAACACAATCAGCTGTTCGCCAGCGCTGGACGTGTTCACCAGCGCTGAACGCGTTCACTGTATGTAAAGAACCGCACCCGCGGAAAAGGAAAAATACGTTAAAAAACTTGAACTCTTAGGAATTGAAGATCCTTATACTGTTATTGACAGTTTCGTAGATAATATAAATATGTGGACAAAATTTCTAAATAAAAATACTGTTAGTAATACTGTTTGCGTTTAGAGTTAAAGTAGACGAATCTGATCAAATGCAGTTCTCGATACTTTGTTTCAGGTAAGGACAGTAAAATAATAAACTTCATTTTAATTATAAAAGATAACTATTAATAAAACAAATATGCTCGACCTTCACAAATACTAATAGTAAAAGACAAAGTCAAAAGTAATAATAAGAATAATAAGATCTAATAGTAGGTCTAATACCTGGCTCCGCTGGGTAGACATAGAATCTAGAATCTACTTCTTTACTTAAATTTAATTAGTTTAGATCTACATTCGATTCAAAATACACCCATAATAAATCAAAAGTAGTCATAATAGGCCTAATAAGGCATTTAATTGTCTCTAAGATCTAAAATCTCGCCCTATTATCTAATCATTTTTTTAGCAAACGAAATTTTCTGAAATTGAAATAGATTGTATGACTAGACTTAGATCTAGAATCTGCTACTTAAATTAAATTGTAAAAACTTTATACAAGCATGTAGTTGATATTATTGTAGTAGAAGGCTTTAATAAATTACTAAGGCCTACCTACTTTGTTGTCTTTTTACAGCAATATGTATCTGATACTGGACTGAGTTTAATTAAATTCAAATTCATATCTAGTAATTGGTCTGCTAAGTTTTTGTAGCCTAGTAGTACAATCTAGATCATACCAGCCAACAACAAATAACCACATTATTATTATTTGGTTAATGATTAGGCAAATTTTTTTTAAATCCACTGTTTATAAAAGAAACAAATCAAGCTAGAAACATTATAAGTGAGATGGTTTAGAATAATAACAATGGACCCAGTCTACAATTGATACAATTGCAGGTCTACATAGGGCCTACAGTCTAGTAGTTTACAGTAGGCACCTAGTGTGTAGCTAGTATACTAGTGTGTAGCTGTCCAGAGTTAAGATTCTTAATGCCTTAATGCTTTCCCCTGATAAGCTATGTGTGCTATAAATGACATAACATGACATCGAGGTGAGAAGTGTTGAGGGGAGAGCAGTGGGACTTTCCCCTTTGTTCTCCCTGCTGGGCCCTGAGGGTCAAAATTATATAAGAAATACTATCTCTGTGGGGCTGGGTATCACGGAGGTGAGACATTTTCAGGGGAGGGCAGGGCAGACTCCTCTTTGGTTTTATTGTGGGCTAGATACAGGTGGGGGCAGCCATCATGAGGGTTGAACGTCAGTATTAATGTGTCTGATTACTTCCCTGCTGGATTATAAGGGTCTTAAATTGTATAACATGCTACCCAGATTGGTTATTACCCATGGATTATATTAGCCGTTGTAGTGTGGGTTTTGTAGGAGTTAAGTGGTCTCACGTTTGCTACAGTACATAACCTATAATATATTACTGCATTTGATCAGCTTCGTCTACTTAAACTCTAAACGCAAACGGTATTACTAACAGTATTTTTATTTAGAAATTTTGTCCACATATTTATATTATCCACGAAACTGTCAATAACAGTATAAGGATCTTCAATTCCTAAGAGTTCAAGTTTTTTAACGTATTTTTCCTTTTCCACGGGTGCGGTTCTTTACATACGGTGAACACGTCCAGCGCTGGTGAACACGTCCAGCGCTGGCGAACAGCTGATTGTGTTTACGTCTGATGTACACCACTGTGGCGGCGGGCGTAGGTATCACGTGATTTAGGTCACGTGTTTGCAAGGACTCTATTAGGTTAGTTTGGAAGGGGTTGGTTGCAGTGGTTATGAATTTGTCCATTGCTTTGTTTTTATAGTATGGTTGGATGGTAATGTGGGGTAGTGTAAGTGATTTATTTTTTTGCTGATTGTTTTAAGACAAACTTAGGGACCTGCATGAAATTAAATTTTTTTTTTTTAGTTACGAAGGAATACCCACACATAGTAAACATTTTAATTACACAAAGGGTTTTCTATTTGAAATAGACTTAAATTAGAATTTCAAATTAATAAAGGATAAAGATTTCACAAGCACTTTATAGTAGTATGCTGTTTTCAATAATGTTTAGCAATAAATAATAAACAGCATCAATTACTATTTAACCTGTGGGACGTTTATTAAAACTTACAGCAACAAATGTAATTGTTGTGGGAGGTATTTCAGAAAAACATTTCAATAAAATTTTGAAAACTTATTTTAATAACTACTTTCTTAAGATATTCTTTTAGTTTATCTATTCTGACACATCAATGTAAGAGGATATAAAAAATAAACAGGATGCAAATTGGTAAGGGCAACGCTTTACTTAAGTTATTTAATTTTTTTTGTGTAAACCTTTTTTGCATTTCCCTAGCACAGGTTGGTATCTCCCAATTTGAAACCTGCAGCTTATTAGTGTATAGTTTTGTAAAAATGTTACATCTAAAGTGAACTGACAAGCAAACTCTTTAAAATTTTGTACTTTTATTATTTTTACAAGTTTAAGCATTGTCAATGGTTTAAAAAGAGGCTTAAAATTAATGGTATAAACAATGTGATGGTCCAGATACTAAACATAAGCAGAGATCTGATCTTCAGAGAGCTATATCTTTATCATCAAATTCAACCCTATTCAAAAAATTTTTTAACAGTATCATATATTTTGCTAAAGATGAGAACAAAAGTAAAAATAGTAAAATAATCAAATTAAAATTACTAACTTAAAGTTGAAGTAAATCTGCTTAATCTATATTAAGATTGATTAAAAAACTTTTAAATTATATCTCCGATACCATCTTAGTAGTTAATGATTATAATTAATACTGTGTAAGAAAATGAATAAATCCTAATATCTTTATTCATAGTTTAAAAACTCAGCTTATGTAACTTGTTTTGCCTAGATTTGAAACATTTCAAAGGCAAGTTAAACATCAGTTTTATATACATATCTAAAAATCAGCATCAGTCAAATATCCACAACATATTTAAACCTGACATTCCAAGATTAATCCGCCTGAAACAATAGAAGAAAGATTTAAAACAATAAAAAATCTATTTACATTTTTTCTTTTTTTATCTGTAATAATAATGATCTGTATATGTCAGTTAAATGTGTAAAATTACTGAGCCTTATTATTTCTAAACAAATGGCTAAAAATGAAATTTTTTTTTACCCAAGCATGCCACTTTCTTTCATTTTAATATGATACAGGAACAGAAGAATAGAATGGAACATGTTGTTTCTCCCCTGTAGATACATGTAAACTCAAATTACAAACAAAGTTATGGTATGACAGATTGCTAATAGCATAGGCAGAATAACTAAAGGTACTCAGGAAGGTCAATAGATTTATTTTTCAAGATTTGCTTACCTTAGACAAATTATAAATTTGTGACCCGATGACAACTTGAAAGTGTGGAGGGTTGATGCTGCTATGGTAAATCTGCAGGTTATCCTTACGATCTACACCTAAACAAGGCAAAATACAGAAGTAAGAAATACATAAACTTTAACTTTACTATTGAGTTTGTCCATTATGATGGGGATGCAAATGACAGATATTTTGTTGATAGAGAACGTCTTTTGAACTAATTTATTTAAAAACTATAAGCTTATTTGATCTTACTGTAGACACATACAGCAACTGAGATGTCTTGCTAAATCAAATCAGCTAATCATATTAAAAGTCTTATTTTACAATGACAACAGTTATGAAAGAAATCTGAAGCTAGCTGTGATAGCAAACTAAACCGTATACTGCAACACTCACTGGGCTTGTCTGGTGTTTTGACAAAGTTTTGTGATGTGAACGATTTGCCATCTGGATATCTTGGTTGAGCAGGAAGACGAGAGTCAAGGTAGCTACAAAATAAGTGCATCACCAACTGTTGAAACAAAATTTATGATAAATACATTGCTACTTTAATATACTTAATAGAAAATTGCTTTAAATTCTACAATAATTCGACCTCAACTCGTCACATTAAATTTACAAATGATTTGATAAATTACAAAATGTGCTTATATGGACAAAATGTTTACAGTAACATACAGCAGCATCTGTAGGCAGGTGTTCTGTCCACTGTTTACCATAGTTGCCACCTTTGTCCCAGGTGTAAGCACTCATGCTGCCAGTACTAAGTTCTAGAATGCAATGTAAACACATTTGAAACCTTGGTAATTTTCTAGTTAGATAATATATTGTGGTCAATAGTATGATACCATCAAACTAATTTTAAAATATCTACACATGACAAATAAATAATTTTAAATCTTGAATTTAAATTTACTATGAATGTAATTTTTTTAAAAAAAGGAACAATGAACCAACCTCTGATTCTGCTGCGTAAATATTCTTGATTTGCAGTGAATTCTAAGTATGGGACTATTGAGTTCAATGTTGGCACATAGGGTCCTTTAGTGAGCGCCAGTTGCTTTAAAGTTGAAACCCCAACATCTGAAAAAAAAGGTATTAACTATTTTACGTTTGAATCTTACGCACACTGATGAGGGCAGGCCAGGTGCGTTTCATTTTTTTCATGCTAGAAATTGAAAATGCTAATTTATTTTAGTCAAAAGAATGGAATCTCTTAATGATTTACAGCTAAAAATACATTTTTATAAATTTTTCGATTTTTAGAGTTCACACCTAATATTGAGTAATCAAACCAAAAACTTCAAACATTACAAAATCTACCTCCAATTTGTGTGTCTTCACATCCAATCTTCTGTAAAACTGCATTTAGCTCATCTATTTCTGTGTTTAATCTTGATACAATTGTGAAACTAAGCCACTGTGTATTATATAAGTAGCATTAAAATAAAAAAAAATGAATTTTGAAATAAAGACATTATTATTTCTTAACAATTATAATAACTCTTTACAGTTCAAATCTACCAGTAAGCTTGGAAACTCGTAGAAAGAGAAGTTTTCTTAACTATTGAGCCTATGCATTCATTGTGCAAAAAAACAACCCAAAACAACAACAATTAGTAACCTTTCTGAGTTTCTCTGTCCAAACATACAGGTCATCTTCTGTGACCCCATAGCTTGCCCAAACCTATAAAAAAGTCAATGATAAATGCTACTGAATGATTTATAAATTATTCCCAATATAACATTACAACAGTTTCAAAATTACTTTCCCAGCCATTAAAAAAAAAGGGATATTGCCAATTAAAAAAACCAAATTCTTTAAAATATTTAAGTCATAATCTTACCTCTCCAACACCTTTACTGCTGATCTGGTCAACTGAGTTGTTAAGTGAAGGAGCTGCTGGTGACCTTGGGGACAGTTGGTAGGTAAACCGACGCAGGATGTGTGAGAAATCTAGAGGGTTTGAAGGTCCATAATTCCAAAAAGATGTGAACCCAGAACTTGGACTTTCAGGTGATACTGAGAAATAATGTGTTATAGAACTGTGAAAAATGATATAGTTCACAAATCTCAATAAATATAAATACTAGCAGAGACCAATACTAGGTTAAGAACATTTAAATGCTGATATTGAAAAAAAAACCCATGTAAATTTACCCTGTGATCTGTTATTCTCTTTTTCTTCCTCTTCATTAATGTAGCGATGCAACGTATCCACATCAGTAATGCGCTTGTATTTTGAAGCTTTATGAATAATAATAAAAAAAATTAATAAATTAAAAAGCTAGAGCTATTTACTATATTTCTTTTCAAATTAAATGACTTTAGAAAATCTTTTAATATCACAAGTAAAAACAAAAAACACTCACATTTTGGATTGATTGGAACTGATGAAGATCTTCTTGATCTTAGACTACTTCTATCATTATCATATCGACTTGAAGTCTGTGAGAGACTAGAGTGGTTCATACTCTGGAATACAATGTATTTTGATGTTAATAGCTGTTATTCTCAAATACCTTAAAGACATTTTTACACAAAAAAGATTTAACAAATCAACCTCTTCTTTTCTATAAACTATATTAGTATATCAAAAGCTATCTTGGCTTGGTAAGTTTGAAAAAATTATATGCACCCTATCAAGAGAGGAATTAAAGCTGGCATTGGTATAGCTGTTATGCAACGAGGAAGAACTCAGCCGTGATCCATATGAGGCCACCATTGATGTAGAGTGTTGTAAAGGTGTGTGGTATCTGCCTGACTGAGGTGATGTAAAACTTGCATTCAAACGATGGGGTGAGATATCTCCAACATTATAGCTACAGGACTGATTATAGCTCAGGGGTGTTGATGTCGAAGGAGAATTGGACAAAGATTTTGTAGGGGTGTGGAAACTTTTATCTGAAATAAATATTATAAAATTGTTTAAAGAGGATTTAATTACTAATAATACCATATGAAAAGAAAACTGTAGATCTTAATGTACAATGTTTTCTGTACAAAATTTTGAGGGTTTAAAAATCAGGGATGTGACCAGACCAGGAAAAAAAATTAGGAAATTTTTTTCGGATAATAACTCAATATGTTTATCTACTTTTTATCGCAGTTAAGCAGCTTCATACTGTTACTGTACTAATAAATTGTTTTATGAAGTTAATATTTTAAATACAAGACGTTTATGTTACTCTAAAATAACATTGAAAGTCTTGTCTAATTGCAATTTAATGTTTACCTTATAAACAACTTTTTAAAAAATTACAATGTAACAAAAGTAGCAATTAAGTTTTATTTTACCATTAAGCTAATTTCAACTGTAGGCCTACTAATCTAGTGTAGATTCTAGATGTACTCCTGTTTTCAATTTTAAATAGGGGGCCTAATGCCTTATATTCTTTTAAAGATTGGATTGGTAAAAATATTTTTCTTCAACTGTAAAGACCCTAGATTAAGATTAGTTATAATATGAACGTTTTAGGTTCATGTGATGGAAAAATGAAATGGACCAGGTTAGCTAAGATTAGAAATGGTCTGACGTGTGAACCAAAGTTAATTATGATAGCCAAGCCACATCGATTTTTTAAAGTTTTTTTGGAATAGCTGTAAATTGTTAGGGGTCATCCACGTTGTTTTGACGATATTTACCTCCCCTCTGTCCAACAAAAGCCAGACTCCCCCCCCCCCCCTATAATGACGTCACACCTCAGCCCCCCCCCCCCCTCCTCCAGGCATCTCTTCGGGGAGATGCCTGGAAGAAACTCTGAAGTAGACCAACATAGGGGATTTTATTCAATTTCTATGTTTTACAACAGTTTTCTAAAACTCGTAATAGCGGCTAAAATGCAGTTGTTTCTAACATTACTTTTTTTTTAAATGCAAAAATATGACGTTACACTATCTTACGAGTGTGACGTTATTTATGGAAGACCCCTTATTAAAAATTTAAAAACAGCCTGTACGTATTTTTTCTTCCACAAACAAGACACGGTCGTAAGTCACGTTGAGTTTAGTATTTTTTTAAATCTGTAGGCCTACGAAGCATACGTATTGCAGGAACAGCTATTTGAAATTGACTGTGACGTCATTTCCCCCCCCCCCCCCCACAAGCAGTACCGAACACGTACTTGGGATCAAGGTGAGGTCACAAGAGCCACCGTTGCTACGAGGTGGGGTGGGATAAGCTAGTCCTCATAGTCACCTTTTGCAAGGATTTCAATATTAATTTGAGATTGCGAAATAAAATAGAATCAGAGAGAAATTGTAGATTTAGGCGGGTTAAAATACCGATAGATAAATTAGGATATATCGATAGCTAGATTACCAAGCTTAAGAGATGTAAGTTTCATTTGAATAACTGCATTATTTAGATTACCTTTTCCCGTGTTTTTGATAAATAGTTAACTAAAAATATCAGCGGAAAATTTGGACTAAAAAAATTGTGCTTTGAAAAATTCGTAAGTCCGCCGAAATTCCGAATCTTAATCTACATTTAATCTTGATCTAGCACCGTCAGACCTAGCGCAATCGACCAATCGAAAAGAAATGCGCATATTCCAGTGTCCGTTTGACCTAAGTACAGTAGTTGTCGATTTAAATTTAAATACGAATAAATGGAATGAGCATGCCGGCCCTTTCCGTAGAAGACATTCCCGTTTTTTTTCCTAATTTTTAAAACTTGGTAAAAAAATCGACAAAATTGAAAGTCGGCGGAAAAATTCGGCGAAAATTAAATCAGCGGGGGAAAAAACGCAACTGAAACGGAAAAATCGGATTTCCGCTAAAATTCGGAAAAGTCACATCCCTGAAAAATAAAAAATAACTTGCCTGTCTTAGAAATAGCCATTAGGCGCCGCTGACTTTCTGTAACATCTACAACAGAACCAAAGAAATAAACCCAAAAGTATCTAAGCAGTAGCATTCCATTACTTATAATCTGGAATATCAGTAGAATGGCCACTGACAATTCTGCAAAATAAAAATTATTTTTATTAACACTCAAAAACCCTTAAGAAACTTCAGGACTTCCCTGTTTAGCATGAAATAGAGAGAAAAAATGGTTCTTCTTTAAGAATTGGTTATCTCAACAGGGTAGTGTAAATGAATTTTTCTTTCAAAGCCAAAATAACCAAAGTAAGTTTTTTAAAAAGAAGAAAGTTACTCACCAATAAACCAAAAAATGGGATGTGCCAAGGAAAAAAGATTTGAAAACACAGAATATGACCTGCAATAAATACCAAAAAATGTAAAGCATAGAGCTTGAATAAAAAAATTGGTTGGTACAAAACTTATATTTAGGCCTAACATTAAACAGCAAAACAAATAATTACATAAGACCTATATATATGAATTATTTTACTTACATGTCTGTAAAGAGAAATATGAAAACAATAGCAATTTTTATAGAAGACATAAGAGCTTGTCTTGCTGCTTGAGTTAAATGGAGCTTTTTCCATGACACCTCAACTATATCAGGTTTTCCCAGAGATGACATTCTATGTTCTGGTTTGAGAGGAAAATTAAAATATAAAAATTAAATTTTATAGGCCTCAGTTAATAATAAGATATGGTTGATATTTTGACTCCATTTTGAATAGGCCTACACTACATGATGTAGTACTGTAGACTATATAAATTTAATAAAAGGCCTCGGCCTATACAGTATACAGTTTTTTTTATATAGCAACAAGCTTTTAAATGCATTGTAAATAAGACTAATCTGCTTTCTTTCATAAAAGCTTTAGTCACTAAAACATGTAAGAGATCTCATGAGCAACCAAACCTATTATGAAAGAAAGCAGATTTGTTCTATTTTCTTAATTTCAGTGCATTTTCAAAAGCTTGTTGCAATAAAGTTTTTGATATTTGCTTTAGTTACTACTTTTTAATGATTCCTTATAGTTATTTATCAAGTCAACACGGCTAAAAATATTTGCTTTAAAAACATCAGTAGCTTCAAGCTTGCGATCTCTGAAAGACATTTATTTGCCCTGTGAAAGCAGCCTCCTTGATCACAGTTTACAGACAACAGCAAGCTGATCAAGCGAAGGTTATTTCTTAAAAGCTCTATTATCTGCAGCTAATAGCCTTCACTAGCTCGATTGTTAACTTTTGACGTGAACCGAAGCTCAGCAGACTGGTCGGGTGATAACTCTAGCTAGTTATCTCCCCTTCTGTTACTGAATATACTAGTAATCTATTGAGTGAAACGAAATCTGTGCATTAGAAGTTGGTCAAAATTGAGCTACAAGATTTGCCACAAATGGACGTTGTGAACTAAGTAAAAGCTTTTAAAAGATAGAGGCAGAGGAGGTTAAAAACCAACAATAACCACACAAAAATTCCTCTCATTAATGTTCCTTCCTCTCATATCACCATAGTATTAAATTAAATTAGTATTTGACAATGACTTGCAGAGACTACCAGCTGGCTACCTAACTGCCACGTTTAACTGTAGATCTATGATGTAGTTACAGTAGTAACAGCCCTTAGGCTTATTAAGTTAGTTATTAATACTAATAAATAGTACTAATAGTAATGTAATAGCCTACTTTCAACACTTTGATAACTTTAAAAATATTAAATAGGGCCTAAATGGTAGGGCCTATAGACTCACTATAGTCTATAGAATAGTCATAGAGTAGTTGTATAGAGTACTAAATTCTAGATCTAGAGACTAATTATAATTAATTAGTTTTGAGTCTAATCTACATCTAGAAAGAATCTAACTAATAAAGTAGTTACCCAGCAAACATTTAAGTCTAGACTCTAGACTAGACTCAGCTATTGCTAAGCTAGACTAGAGTTGTCAAGTGTCTAGGAAAATCTAGCTCTAGATTAGTTTCCTACTAGATCTAGTCTAGGATAGATCTAGAATCTAGATCTAGATCTAGACTAGATTCTAATAATTTTTTAAATTTTTATGGTCAGTCAGCTAGTCTAAGTCAGGGCTTTTTTTTTACTTATTTTGGCCGAATTTACGACGCAAAACGGTTTTACAGGGTAACCGGCTTAAAATAAATTATTAATATTTGGTCCAGTAAAGGTTTCGGTTTACCGTTTAGTTTATTTTTGAAGTTTAAGAAGATGGAATAGGCCTAGATCTAATAAATAGCTGCTACAACCCACGTACAATCATTTTAGTTAGACTAGATTTTAAGATTAGTAAACCTAAATCTAGCTAAACTCACTGTACTCAAGATTTAGACCTAGGCCTAGTTTAAATTGAAAAGTGCGGTTGCCTGATCAAATATTAGAAAAATTGCCAACAACTTTCAAAGTTACTGTATATACATTATCAGACGGTTTACCTAATGCCCAGATCTAGATCTAGTAATTAAGTTATTTAAATGTGCGCACGATCTCATATGATAGAGGAAACAATTATTCCATTGCTCGATACTCTGCTCTTAGAGTCTTTTAGAGTCATACATAGATATTAGATATAATAGATAACGATCCCAAATCGTCAATGAATGAAACCACGATGCCTGTCAAGCATTCCGCATACTCACGAAGCATTGTTTCTTGTATTTAAAAACACTATACCACTACTAATCATTATTTAATATTTATCCGTACTAATCTACATTTTATAAAAAAGTTTAGTTAAAAAAAGAAAAATTGAAAGAGATGCTAAAAATGACCACGCAAGGCTGATTCTAAGTCGTACTTTTTTGTCGCCGTGGTTCAAAACTGGCGAGTGAAATTTGATTACTTCCAACGGACATATTTCTTCCAAAGTTGGCATGTGGGTCAAAATAAGACGACAATGCAACCCAATACCAAATCTCACTATATAAATATACTACTAGCTCCATACCCGTGCTCCGCTACGGTGAATAATTTTATTCATTCAACGCACTGCGCTGCGCGTATACCCGTGCGTCGCCACAGTGTGGATATGGTCGGAGTTTACCGCGCTGCGCAAGGGTGCGGGTCACCGATGGGGGTCTCCGCTTTGGATATCTATTGAATACCTTTACTCAAATTTAAGAAGCAGCTCACGCTTTTCTTTATATTATAGTGATTTCAATAGTGATACGTAGTATTTAAAGAAAACCATTTATTTTCTATATTTTAGTGCATAATTATATAAAAGCTTACGGGCCAATACAAAAGCTTTTTAAAATAGTTTTATTATTATATTTTTAATCCAAATGATAGGGATATTTTCATATACATTCCTCTTTTTTGTAGCTATGGGGTCGTCCATAAATGACGTCACACTCGTAGGGGAGGAAGGGTCCGTAATTTTGTGACAATGTGTGATGAGGGGGGGGGGGTAAGTTCAGATGGTGCGACGTCAAACTTTTGCATTAAAATAAAGCAATGTTAGATAACGAATTTTAGACGTTATTTCGCGTTTTAGAAAGCTGTTTTAATAAATTGTAATAGGAATTGATTAAAATAACTCTATTTTGACAAAGTTCAGACAAGATTTTGGGAAAATATCGATGTTAAAAAAAAAATTAATTCAACTGCAGCTTTGAGGGGGGGGGGGTGTAGGCTGAGGTGTGACGTAATTTTAGGGGGTCTGGCTTTTGTGACGATGTGTGATGGAGGGAACGGGAGGGGGGAGGTAAAAATCGTCAAAAAAGCTTGACGTCATTTATGGATGACTCTTATGTAACAGAGGCAATTTAAAAAGAAAGACAATTGTTGCTTTTTCGATGGCCTTAATAAAAAAATCATTATAAAAAGTTAACTTTGAAAGTTTACTTTTTTTTTTTATATCATAGGCCTTAAACTCTATCTCCACCACCCCCCCCCCCAACCCATGATCATTTTGAGTCATTGGGACATTTTATGCCAATATGGTAACTCGTGAAAAGAAAAACGGCAGTTTCGGCAAATACATTGTTAGTTTAATAACCGGCGACCTTCATTAAAATTATAGAAGCACAGTAGATTCAATTTACATACAAAAGATCATAGTTCCTCTGGTTTATTAAAGGTAGAAAAAAGTTGGGAAAAAGGAGGTTTTTTTTTGTTTTTTTATGATTGCATTACTAGATCTAGATGTAGGACTACTATAGGCCTATTTAATATTGTGTCTAAGTATTTATTTAAAGTGGCACAGTTACGTCTTTCATTGTTTTGGTAAATAGAGTCAACCATGGCGGACGACCAAGACCAGGTATGATTTGAATATACTAAAATTAGAGTAATAAATAATAAATCATTAGTCTTAGAACGTAAATAACTTAATTAGATCTATATAAAATACCGCATACAAATATTCAGACCCCCCATTTTGCTTCACATTCAATTCAGGGTACTGGTAGTACTGGTAGGGTAATCTATCGTAATCGTTTTGTTTGGGTACGTAAAATCGCCCGCGGCTTCTAATGTTCGAAAAAGTTACCTTTAGGCCTAATAGAAGTGATATATTTGTGTCAAATATTGTAGATAGATGAATAATAAACCTAAATCAATGGTTGGTAATCTATCGTTTTGGGTACGTAAATACTAAAATCGCCCGCGGCTTGTAATTTGAAAAACAGGTGACTCCTTAAATTTTATTTTATTTCACATTATGAGGAGGATTTTCCGATTTATGTTTTGAAAAATACAAAAAATGTTTCCTTGTTTTTCACATTACTAGTCGCGGGCGATTTTACGTACCTAAAACGATAGATCACCCAATGGTTAAATATATCAATATGGGTCAGAAATTAACTTTAAACAGCAGTGTTTGCAAGTAATGTTTCCTTGTTTCATTTATGTACCTGTTTTTAAACAATTGAATTAAAACTTTTCAGTAATAAATGAACACCAGCGATGTTTCCAACAGATGCAACCATGCTCATTTACTATAGCAGCCATCTTGTTAATTTTTTTAGCGCAATTTCCATACTGGCAAAAAATGCGTTTAATAGCTCGTCATTTCTGGATGGATGGACGTGTGTCCGCAGCTTTAAGTCGTATCTCCTCCTCAATGAAGCAATATCGAGGACTAGTTCCAAAAGCAAATATGTTAAGTAGGGACTTGGATGACGTAGATTTTGAGGCACTAAAAACGAGAGTTTTCTGCCCATACCGAGTTTCGTCGATTTAGCCGTGCGGTCGCGGGTGATGATCGAAACATTTTTTTTTTATTATAAATCGCCGATGCTACTAATAATTTGATGACTGATTATGAAAAACAAATGGATTTCATATGTTACGGTATTTTTGTTTTGAGATTTTGTTGAAGGTGAAAATGGATTTTTGGAGCCAAACTTTGGCTACGTAAAACTCTTTGTACCATAAAAACTTACTAACAAAGAAGGCCAATAAAAAGCCCTCCGACCATAATCACCATTTTTCTTTATGTGTGTAAATTTTCATAATGTTAATCGATAGCAAAGTATTTTTTTATAAATAGTTTAGAAAGTATAGGCTTAAGCCATTTTACGACTACCGGGAAAGACAGAGGTTTAAACCGGAAGTGTACTTGTGTTGTTAATGACGCAATTGCTCTCAATTGAATTGATTTGTAAATCCAGCAACATCCACACGAATCTGACTTTAAAATCATTTTAAATTATAGAATTATATTTTATATTGATAAAACTATGATTTTTTGTTGACTTTGTGCGCATATTTTCTATTTAGATTCATTTTTTTTGTAATTTTATGTTAGATCTAAAAATAATTTTCTGCGAAATTTTTCAAGTTGAATTATTGTTTCATTTTAATTGTATGGCCTAGATATAGATCTATATTGTTCTTGAATGAGTTCTGTATTTTATATTAGCTATCATTATAGTAACTTGTGTACTTTCCACATTTTTCTTAAATTTTAAAGCTTGATATAGGCCTAGATCTAGAATCTAATATAAAATTCCATTTGCCTATCATTTGGTCTATAAAATATAGGCCAATAGGGTAATTCTATATTAAACATATAGCCTTTTGATTGCTTTTCAAGCGAATTTTTATTACCAATATTACTAATATTCAAACATTTTAGGAGTCCTATATTTTCTTTATAGCTCTAGGACTTTGTTCGTTTTAGATTTATTACTAAATTACTACAATCCTTGTACAATGTTCTGTCTTCATCTGTAGGCCTATTTGAAGTACATATGATACTACTGTATTTTTGCTGTAGTATTCATCTCAGTTGCTTTTTTACTAGTCTTGGCCCTAGATAAAATGTACCAGTTCACAAGGGGATAGAGAATCAAAAGATGTGGATCTACTCATAAGCAACTTCAATGAAGGAGAAATAGGTCCACTTAAGAATGGATGTTGCTGGTTTTTATTACAGTTCTAAAAGCTATCAGCCAGAGGAGACACAGCTTCAGTAGATGTTTAATCAGATTTCATTTTTAAATCATTGATGGTGTTATTTTTTAAAGTAAAAAAGTGATACAGGCTAACAGACTTAAACATGTTATCCACACAGCATGAGATGTCACTTAAATATATGACAGATGTTTCTAAATTATAAAACTTACCTTTAACATTAAATGGTGATCATTACTCCACCAGAGTTTCTTCCAGGCATCTCTTCGGGGGGGCGAAGCCCCCCCGAAAATTTTTTACCGCCCCCCCGAACGAAATTAAATTTATATAATTTATATAGAAAATATATACTTTTAACAGTGTCCGCCCCCCCGAAGAAAGTTTACCGCCCCCCCGAAGATTTCAAGTGCACCCCCGGAGAAAAAAGTCTGGAAGAAACACTGTACTCCACCAATATAAAATCATTTCAATTATTAAATTATTTGTTCAACAATAATTGTAAATTAAATTATATCAATTCTATGTAACATACACATAACATGGATGAAATATCATGCATATTGACAACATTTAGATACAATTTTAGTTATCTAAAATCAGTTTAGCATTGTACTTCTTTCTTGCAAAAAAGTAGTTGCGCAGAACAAAAATGACTTTTTAAATTTGACCAACATTGTAACAAAACCACATAAGCTAAGTGAAATATTTTTACTTTGTGTGGATGTATACAATGTTGGCACCAATTAGGCCAATTTTCATTAAGATATTCCATATAATAAAAATTTGGCAACAGATTATGTGTTGCCTATAGCAGAATTTATTGTTTAAAATTAAGGGGGGTATATGAGTTTAAACCCCTTTTTCATTAAATAAAATATTTTTAAAATCAAATTTGAACAAAGGAAATATCAAAGTATATAATAACCTTCATGTTTACAATATTTCTTGCATATAAGCAAAGTAATCTAAAATCAGCTCAACATTGTACTTCTTTCTTGCAAAAAAAGTAGTTGCGCAGAATAAAAATGACTTTTTTATTTTGTCCAACATTGTAATAAAACCACATAAGCTAAGTAAAATATTTTGACTTTCTGTTAATGTATACAGTGTTGGCACTATCCAGGCCAATTTTCAGTAAGATATTCCTTATAATAAAAATTTGGCAACAGATTGTGTGTAGCCTATCAAAGACGCTTATTAAAATTTTTTAGGGGGGTGACCCTCTTTGTTAACATTATTTTTTATGATCATTCTCATCCAATTCAATTATTTTTATCTTACTCTTTTACTGATATCATAAGCTTGATCTTAGTGAATTTTCATTAAAAAATACCTGCTATTTAAAAAGTTACAGAGATTTTAGTTCGCATCCAAAAAAGTAGGGAAGCAAAAAATTGAGAAAACCCCATATTAAAAAAACCCGAAAATTAAATGCATTAAAAATTCATAACTTCGTAACCGTTTGAGCTAAAATTAAAATAAAAGTATCTTTGTTCTTGTCTAAATGAGCTCTATAAACTGGTGCTACTACATTTTTTATTTTTTTAAAAATGAAATTTCATCCAAGTCCCTAATGTTAAGCAAGTTCCAAGGATGATTGTGGGCAAAAAAAATTCCCAGAATTCCTTCCTGGATAACCCTGGAAAAGCCAAAAAATCTCGAACAAACGCAGTTTTTGCTCCATATCTCGGCAACCAGACCACTTAGCGACCTGAAACATTTACCAATCGATTCCTGCCATAATTTAGACCAATATTGCAGAAGAAAGTTTTCAAAAATATCCTTTCGTTCGGTCACAAAAAATTAACTAAGAACATTTAAACTGAGCATAGTGTAGGCCTAGGATGATATTTACTACTTTTTAAAAATAAGCATCTTGTAGGCCTACTCGTTAAAATAAAACTATTTCCGTTGATATAGGTTAATATAGTTGTCTTTTTTTTTTACTTATTAATTCAAACGTTATTTTTGTACCCTATTAATTTATTTATAATTTAAAAAATTAATTAAGGAAATTGCGCTTAAATTGTCACTAGACTTTTTATTAACTTGTTTTATTGTAAACTTATAGCGTAAGATTCAAGGGAAGCCACTCTAACTTACAGATGGCCGCTTTTTATATATATAGCAAATCCTGCTTGCAAACACTGCTGTTTAAAGTTAATTTCTTGCCTATATTGATATATTTAGCCATTGATTTAGACTCTAGGTTTATTATTCATTTATCTATAATATTTGACACAAATATATCACAACATACTTCTATTAAAGCCTTGACAATGAGGTAACTTTTTCGTACATTACTAGACGCGGGCGATTTTACGTACCTAAAACGATAGATTACCAAAAAAAAACGTAGCCTAATCTTAAATCTAGGCCTATTGTTTTTCGAAGTAACTAGATCTAGAAATTTTCGCACCAACATCTCCACCTAGTCGGCAAAAGATAGGTCTGCGCACGCGCAGTGACCAATGGCTAGAGTTATGGTTAGGGATCTGGTTAGGGCTAGTATTACTATTAAGCTATTAGGTTATTACACTCGGGTAAGAAGGGATAGGGTTGGGGTTAGGATTAGGATTCTGCGGTTGCAAACACACACATGTGTAGTACCATCGAAAACATTGCCGCGAAGGCAAGTCGTAGTTTCTCTCCATTGTGCATGCATATCTTTTTCCGGCTAGCATCTGCCATCGTTTTTAGGTGCGTAAAAAATAAAATCGTGCGAGGCTAATAATGTGCGAAAATGTTGCCTCATTGTTAAGTAATGTTAAGGCTTTAATATAAGGCTTTAACATCACGCATCCTTTTTTGCAGTTTTATCGTTTTCTTTAGGGATCATATACACAACATATGAAAAAAACTGCTAATCTTGCAAAATCTCATTATTTTAATGCAAGATGCTAAATAAATGGACGCCATGCCTTTAAATGGCCGAAAAAATTTGCGAGATGTGTAGATTTAATTAATACATGCATTTCTTGTCGAGTAATCTGAAAAGTAAAAAAAGTAAAGTTTCCCTTTCAAACCTGACAGTCTATGGGGCAAGTGAAGTAGAGTTCACTTGTTTCTGTGACCTCGGCATATGAAGAGATAGTGTGGTCAGCACTATGCCCAGCCGCCTTTACTTTCCCTAACATGAGTTTAGTACCCATTCGAGTTGGGTGGACTCAGGGACAGTCTACTGACTTGAACCTGGTTCGAACTCTAGACTTACGGGTTAGCAGTCCAGCTCTCTACCGCTAGACCACTCCGTCCCATGGGAAAAACTGAACTGCCACCTTAAATGGCCCAGTACACAGTCGAAACCCCCTGGTACAAAAGTAGTAATATATAACAGATATTTATAATGATTAATTTCAGTTATGTTGATTCATTTTTTAGATTGAATTTCCATATGAGGTAACCATGCAGACATTTTTTTTAGTATCGTTACGTCAGTTTTATGCTAGTTGCCTATGGCTTGTCATGGTTTATGTGAAATAACAAAATATTTGATTTTAAAATTTCATAATTCAAGCTACATAGAATTATATTGTGATATATTTGTGTCAAATAGGAGAGATAACTGAATAATAAACCAAAATCAATGTCTAAATATAGGTAAAACTCCATTTTAGTGTATTTTATTCCCCGTTTCACGTTTCCTCCTATTGAGCATATTTTATTATAAACACAACCAAAACACACACAAAGCGGTCATCCATTTATGACGTCCACATGGAGGGGGGATCCGGAAAAAAATAGACTTGTGTATGCATGTGGACTGTGTGTGTGGGGGGGGGGGGGGGGGGGGTTCGGGTTAGTGTGGACGTCCACATACAGAATTAAACTACAAAATATTTACATTTGGTAATTTAACAACTAAATTTGGAAACTGAACATAAAATGTAGATTATACATTAAATTGGCAGTTCTCTTGGTAAATGTATCAGAAATGTAGCTGTATTATCCCTGCATAAGAAAAAAAGCGATTTTTTTTTTTAACAAGCGGGATGGGATGGGGCTGTGACCGCGGCGATTCATGGTATTTCAAGTTCATGTCATGTCATGTTTGCCTGTCGTCCCTACTGGGACATAGGCCGCTGACAAGAGCTTTCCAGACGTCTCTGTCCAGGGCTAGTCTCTCCAACTGTCCCCAGGTGTATCCAATCTTCTTGGTGTCTTCTTCCAGGTCACGTCTCCAGGTCTTTCTTGGTCTGCCTCTCTTCCTCCTGCCTTGTGGATTCCAGGTGAGGGCCTGTCTTGTTATGCTGGATACAGGCTTCCTGAGTGTGTGGCCAATCCATTTCCATTTTCTCTGGAGGATCTCTACTTCCACTGGCAGTTGATTTGTCCGTTGCCATAGAACATCATTTCTGATGGTTTTAGGCCAGCGAATTCGCAGGATCTTTCTGAGACATGCGTTTATAAATGATTGTATTTTCTTCTTATTTATAGCAGTTATTCTCCATGTCTCAGCTCCATAGAGTAAAACAGGTTTTACTAGTGTGTTGAAGATCCGGATTTTTATTCTAAGGGTTAAATCTCCCGAACCCCAAACATTTTTTAGTTGGTTGAAGACTGCTCTTGCCTTACCCGTCCTTATTTTTATGTCTGCTTCTGTCCCACCCTGCTTATCAACAATACTTCCAAGGTAGGTGAATCTATCCACTTCTTCTAGGGCTTCTTCTGCCAGTGTTATAGGGTTGTTGTTTGATGTATTGACTTTGAGAACTTTACTTTTCCCTCTGTGGATGTTCAGACCCAGGCTTGTAGAAAAATTTGCAACCCTGTTGGTTTTATCCTGCATTTGCTGTTGTGTGTGAGAAAGGAGGGCCAGGTCGTCAGCAAAGTCCAGGTCATCCAGCTGGCTCCACAATGTCCACTGTATACCGTTTCGCGTTTTCTCTGTTGACATCTTCATAACCCAGTCTATGGCCAGTAGGAACAGGAATTATTTCAAGTTATTACAATATTATTTTGTGTCAAAGCCTAAGATAATGTAGATCTAATCATTTTTTCAATTAAAAAACTCAAAATAACCAATTTTAACCATTCTATTCCTACTCAATAACTTAGTTACATTTAATTAATAACTGAAGTTCTAATAACTGCTGTTTTAGGCCATACCTGTTCAGACAGTTGAAGAACCTCTTGACCTTGTCAGACTCAGCTTAGATGAGAGGATTTATGTAAAGATGAGAACAGACAGGGAGCTAAGAGGCCGACTACATGTAAATACTACAGTTAATCATACCATTGGTTTGGACATTTTTAAAGATGCAAAATAAATAAAAAAACAATAGATATTATTAACATTAGTCAAGCTTTTATAAACGGTTCATAAATTAAAACTTCTTTTTTAGGCATATGACCAGCATTTGAACATGATTCTTGGCGATGTTGAAGAGACTGTCACAACTTCAGAAATTGATGAAGAAACATACGAGGAAATTTTCAAGGTAAGGATTTATTTCATTTTCTTTTAGATTTTTAATCAACTTATAAATCCTCTGTCACTTTATGTCCAATCAGCTTTTACTGAAATTCCAATTAAAAGAAACTAAAAAATGAGAATTTTACCAAGCTACAAGTTGTATGGCAGAAACCATTATGAGACATTTCACAGCTACAAAGTTGTAGTGCTTGCAATGAATCATTTTCTTCATAAATTTTTGTGTGTGTTGTAAAAACCAAGTTTGAACGTAGCTGATTCATCAAGTTCTTTCTTCAGTGTAAATGCTTAAACTTAAGGGTACTTTCTCTCTCTCTATATATATATATATAAATATATATTCTATAGAAATATTCCGATTATTGTTATCAGGGAAAAGTATTAAAATACAAAAATATCCATTCCATTTTTAATAAAGATTTCTTGGTTTGCACTACAAATGAACTTTTCCTGATATAGATTTAGTTTCAGTTACTTTTCTTTCTATGCAGACCACCAAAAGATCAATAGCCATGCTGTTTGTTAGAGGAGATGGAGTTATTTTGGTATCACCGCCCATGAGGACTGCAACATAAATTACTTGTAATGTTTTTTTTATTATTAAACATTGTATTGGAACTATTTCTTGTTTTATTATTACATATGAAATAAATCATGAACAATATTTTTATGTTTTTCGATTTTTTTGAAGTCATATTATGGATGTTTATGAACTGTTTGATGTTTCTGCAAGTATCTTATAATTTTCAAATTTTTAAGAGCTCAAAGCTTTAATTTAAAATTTTAAAACTACAATAAATTCAATTATGTTAATGTAGCATCACTTTTTGCTTATCGAATTTGGCTTTACTTAAAGACCAAGACTATTAGTATTAGAAATTTTTTTTGGGTATTGGCATTGAGCAATATAATATTGGGTGTTTGAAATTAATTTGAACACAAACTTTCTTTCACTACAGTAAAAAATAATTGACAACAAAGCATTTTTCAATTTCAGTGTATTCAATCTCACTATGGTAAAATGACATCCTTTTACATCAGACAGAATACAAAAACAGCTGCTTTTTATTTTAGATAGTAGAGACTAATACAGACTGTGGAGATAATAGACTGTCAGTTCATATTCTGGTTACAAACTAAATATTTAATTTGAGATCAGCATATAATTAAAACTTAGTGTGTTAATTACAGATTGGTAAAATTTTAATCTAGTTAGTGTCCTCTCCATAATTGTTATAAAATGCTGGTAGGAAATAAAATACTGTAGTATGTTTTTTTTTAAAGAGGGATTGCAGTCATATACAAAAGTGGATTTGGGTAGTAGTATTAGTAATAAGTCCTCCTGACATTTTTATAAGTAACAAAAGAAAATTTAAGAAAAAAGCCTATGTAAACGTTACAAAATAATTAAGCATTCAACAATGGTACAGTGGACTAGATTTTTTTCTGTATCTATACAAACAGTAGCATCTGTTCAACATAAATTTTATATTATTAAATGCGCAATTTGGTAAGTTCATATTTAATTTATGAAAATAACTACACAAACACTAGTATCTGAAGTAACTAAAGCCATATAGCAGTTAAGGACTTGAATGATATCTAATTTTTAGAAGATGAATATTGTGCACATACTAAATCGTATAGGAAGTAAGTAAAGAAAATCCAAAAACAAACAAACTATATGTCTGTAATGTGCTATAGTGCTAAAATAAGTTAATAATACTGACTTCCCAAACAATAGCCTACTTTATGTATAATTAAAAATGCTTTCAACCTTACCTTTACAACTGGTGATAATTAACTATAGCAAAAATGTTAGTCAACTATAAAAATCCTTTATGTTTAGTGGTAATTTAAATTGCAAATATAAAAAGTATCATAACAGGCTTTATTGATTTGATTTTAGTAAAAGACAATTATCTGTGTGGAGACTACGAGTTATTAATAATTTGTAAGTTCAATAGGTGGTTTACAAACAAAAGTAAAAAAGTAACAAAGAAGTAACTAAAAATTTAAGCACCGATTGTAATGCTAAGGAGTAAAAAAAATATATTAAAAGATGAGCTGTCTTGATGTATAGATTTGTGGAAACTTTCAAAAGAAAGTGACAGTTGTTGAATCTCTGCTGATTTCAATACTTAATTTAAAAAAATTAATAAGCTTAACATTTTACAACACGTAATAACAAAAGTTGACTCCATTAAAAAAAATAGCTTTGCCTTATCACAAATTATTCTGCTACCCAGATGCAGAGAAAGCAATAGTATTTACACTCACAACACATTGGGCTATTGATATCCAATGATTCAACTATATTGAAGGAACAATTTCCTTAATCATTATACATTATTTATTCAGAAGGAGGTAAAAATCATGTAACAGGTACTTCATTAAGCCCATTGAAATAAATAAATACAATAAATATATTACAGCTGAAGAAGATTAATAATTGTGTCCAATTTATCAGGTGGTTAAATTGATTTACAAACAATAACACAATTATAATGCAACCAATGTATATCTAAGCAAAAATGTTTTAAAAAAAAGTATAACTGTTAAAAAGAATCCAAATGAAATTAAAAATATAGGCTAGATTTTCAGAATAAGTTTTATTTTTGGACAATTATTACTTATGTTTAGAACCATGTGTTAAAACATTTCCATAAAATAATAATTCTGCCGCTATTTACAATATTTAAGTTAATGACTTTTGTCATTTATAAACCTAAAAGCAGTTATTTAAAAAAAAATAATCAAATTTTTTCAAGGGGTGAAATACTAAATTTCATCTAAAATACTAATCAGGGCACATAAAATACATTCATTTGTTGTATTGCTTTAGAAATAGAATAAAAGAAGACATCTAATGAATCTTTGCTATCTTTAACACTACTGTAATAAAAATTTTCCATTAAAATTTTTTTTCTATTTTTTTTCTCTCTCCAACTACTAGTTAGCTCTACTAAAACAAACAAATGATTAGCTTATATTTTCTTTATGAATGTCTTTTGCTTTAACTTACTATATTCACTTGAGTTGTAAGTCTCAAGAAAAAGGTATAAGGTCTACAAGGTTCTTTTTTGGCTGTGTCATTGACTCTGGAAAAAATTCAATTAAGAGATCAAACAGTTGAGTTCTCTGTGTGAAGTGAGGACTAATGCTCTCACCATCAAAACCAGCTGCATCGCTCTCTTCTCCAGCACTTGAGCAGGAAAACAAAGATGACGTTAAAAGCTGGAACTAAATGCCAAAGGTAGAAAAACAGAAATTAGAATTTTTATTCTTAATATTTTAAATTTATTGTTAGCTTAGTATTGGCATTGAAAAGCAGTACTTTAAGCATGCAAGAAAAACTAAAAAGTATACATTATATATCATTAAATAGACTAAAAATATGATAAATACTTTCTAAAAATATGATAAATATTATATTGGTTTCTATTATAAAGACAAGATTATATGTAAATTAGAAAATATTTATGACTAAAATAAATAACCTCTTTTGTTTCTTCTGGGTTACTGTGGTCAACCATATTGGCTAATTCTGTTTGTAAGTAAGTCATAGCTTGTCGAGGAGCTTGTGTGCTCATCTCCAGGAAACGGTGTTTGCGAATGAGAAACCTGCATCTCCGAAGTAGGTATTCAGTTGAGGGTCTAGAAAGCTGCAAATTGTAGAAACAAATAACCGTTTCATTTTGTAAAAAAAAAGCATGTTTTTGTAATTGATGATACATTTAAATTAGACAAATATTGCCAAAAAGGGTCCTGTGCAGTTGGGGCTTTGTATTATTTTAGTGTCATTAATTATTACTGTTTTGTAAAAGTCTTATGACAGTTTACATACCTCTTATTTAATAACTAGTATCTGATTAATAGTTGAAATATATTATGCAAAATCCAGGAATTTTGATATACAATAATAAAAAAAATACAAAAAAATAATAAAAATTGTTCTTTTTTTTTTCAAATTAACAATGAAACATCTGATTTCATTAAAATTAAATGAATCTTACTTTTAGTGACCAAAAATCATCAAGTCTTAGTCTTGGTAACGAGTCTTTTCCAGGGTTGCCACCAAAAAGGTAATGAGTTTTCCTAAGGTGATCATAGACCAGTTGGTGAGCAAACCTGGGTACTGGCTCAACGTGCTGCATTTTCATCCAATACTGTTGTCCAATGTTTTCATTTTTGTATATACATGACCTGCTCATGTTCACAAAATGGTTAAACAATTACTCATACATATTTATATGATTTCATAAAGAAGACAATCTATTTAATCTGCCTTGAAAAAAGTGATTAATTTCAGAGCATAAGCAAGATATTTTTTTAGGCACTTTCTTTGTACTAGAATGTTGAAAGAACAAGTGAACATAGAAGGAATTTGTGTAACAATTAAGGAGTATTGTTACTTAAGGGTTAAACATAAACAACATCACACTTATTATAACAATGTTTACCTCTCCACTAATGTCACAAAAATACACATTTCAGCCGTATACATTTTATTAACACCAAAAGTATGAACACTCGTACAGTTGCTAAATATTCTTACCATTTATCTTTGTGAATGTCGTAAACCCAAAAAGAATTTTTAACATTATCTCTCTTATCTTTGTCTCTGCTTAAACCCTAAAGGAGGAAGACACACAAAAGCCTTTAGACATTAAAAGCTATAAATTCTTTAATTAAGTATTTAATTTTAAGTTGTAGATACTTAAAAAAAACTTTATATTTAAGAACAAATTAAAAGCTTACAGAAAAAACATGAATCTCATTTAGCTCAGGATCAAGGGTAGCTCGCTGTGTAAAACCTATGAAACAGAAGGAGATTTATCTAACCTTATTATTGGGGATAAAAATTGGTACCTCTAACAAATATTCAAATTTGAACGGTTAAGATTATTCTAAGTCATTCCTAATATATAGTATTCTTCTTTAAAAAAAATATAAAATTACCAAAGTGACTAAAATACAGAATGAGACAAGAATATTAGTGTTAAATTAATGTTTACCTGTCTGACAGCCATCTTTTTTCTTCCCATCAGAAATGACATGAACAGTTTTTGTATCTACATTGTACATTAGGAAATCATTTAAATACTCTTTTGATCTTTGTCCAGCAAATATATACAATACCCTCTTTACCTGGAATTAATTAAATATACTAGTAACTACATTTTTATTTTAACATTTAAAAAAAAGATTCTGGGTTAGTCAAAAAAAGAATGATAGGCATTACTAATTTTTCTTTGATTTGATTATAAAGTTATAGGTAAGCTGTTTTGATATTGAAATAAAATAGTTTGTATTGTTTTGGTTGTTTTATATTCAAGCTAGATTCAAAATAAAATTACAAATCATGATTTATAGCCATCAGTTAAGAGATGTCAAGTATTTATTATATAATAAATAAAATATTGTTATTACAAATTACAGATATTAGTCACAAGATTATGGTTCTATCTAGGAAAAAATAGCTTACCTGTAAATAATATTTTTCTAGATAAGGTCATAATCACAATAAATGTATGAACCAAATAAATGGAGCAAAAAAATGTATCTAAAATGTTGGAAATACTTACAGGATGAAATAACATTGAGTGCCCAATACGCGACCTTAATGTTGGACCATCCTCCTTAAGCAAACTCCAAGTGTTAGATGGAATATGAAATGAGTAAAGACCACTGAAGATAGGATCTGGTGCATTAGTGCTGTTACTCGGAGTGCTGTAAAAGATGTTTTCGAAAACATAACTTTTTAAAGCAGTAGGCCTATAGCCCACAACTCCTTTACATCAATATAAAAAATAAGCCTTACAGCTTAGTAAGATTTAGGCTACTAAATCACAAATATAAATAAAATCCTAATATCAAAGACACAAATCAAAGCTACCTGACTAAAACTCGCCCTCCAAACACATAAATAGTCTGATGTTCAATATCTATAACCATCTGGTGATCAAATATGAGCTGGGGTCCCCCCATGGCAGCAGTGTCTTCTGTGATAAAAGTCCACTGTTGACTTTCTATATCATACATATGAAAATCACACTGTAGAAGAAATATAGAATTTAATTATCCAATCAAATTCTTATTTCGGGAAAGAAAAATCCAGAGATGATCTCTGCTTTATTCTTAAAAGTTTTTCATTTGAACATTAAAATCTCAGTAATATTATGCTTAATCTTTATACAGAGATAGGTGAGCAACAGTCACTTTTTTCTGTATGCCATAATTTCATTCTCACCTTTAACCTTTCAGGACTTCTCATTGCAGGGTCTAAGTAACGCCCTAGTGTAAAAATTTGCTTCCTTTCATAATCCAGGCACATTTTATGGCAAGATCGAGCAGAAGGTCCACCCTGAAAACAGAACACAAGTTGCCCAGTATTAAAACTGTGTATCACAATTTATTTTTACATTTTAGAAATAAATTATAATATAGTAAACATTTCTTTTTTAAATACTTTATATTACGTGTAAAAAGAAATAATTTTAATAATGTAGCAGATTTATTTCTGTTGAATAGTAAGTGCAAAGATAATGAGATTTGTAAAACATTCACAAACAAATGAACACTTTTTTAATGTAAATACATTTCCTATTGGTTAAAGCAGTTAGCTATAGAAAGGTTTAAATATAAACAGCTTATATTAAAATAACTAGCTAAAACAAAAATCTACCAAATTTTGAGAATGGAAGACAATCTTTGACTTACGTCTCTCTCTGTGTCATGAGAGATGCAGGTCCAGGTGTGGGTCGGGATGTAATATGACCACAAGTCTGCCAAGTCATGGTTCCCATCCCAGCCACCAAACATGTAGATTGTCTCAGTCAGAACGTCAATGCACATCTGGTGTCCACCTCTCATACCTGGCCGGGCACCGGAACCTTGGTCGGCTACAGAGAGAAACATTGATTTTAATTATATTTCCAGTTTGTTAACTCTCATACTATGTAAATATATACACAGAGCATGCTTTCGTTATGTGAGTTTTTACCTTTTTAAAATTGATGCCTTAGTACTTACTTTTACTGCTGACCGGTTCAATGGCTGTCCAGTCAGGTTTGTAGTCCTGCTGACTTATGTACTGATCAAACATGCCCTCTATAAGTGTGAAACAGTAACAGTTCTTTAAATAAATAACATCATATTAAATACAACAACAAGCTGAATAATTTATTCCTCTATATATTATCATTGGAATGAAAGAACTAACTAATTAAAAAAAATGAAATAACGATATAATGATATTTTAAGAAAAGATATAGAATAAAAAAATCAAACCATTGCAGGCTTGAGTTACCAGATCCTCGCATGCTTTGAAGTCACCTTGGGTTACCTGGACATGAACAACATTGCACATGACTTACAGATAAAGCTGACAATGAAATATTTCATGAGCAATAATTTTAAAAGATATATTAGGTTAAAAAACAATTGTCGTACCAGTAAAGTATGCAACTGTGTTAGGATTGGGTGCTCCAAAACAATGTTTGTTTTTTTACTTAAAGCTTCATATGCCTCTGTGTAGCATCTCTGTCTGAAGTGTTTCAGGCACAGCCTAATTGCTTCCCTTTCTCTGTACTGTTTTAGAAGAAAGCAAAATCTAGTGAGCAAAACAAAACATTTATAGCAAAGAACTATATATTAATTATAAGTGTTCAATGATTACTCAGTAACAATACTAATATTTATTGTTACTCTAGAAAAATTAACATTTTTATAGCAAATAAAAATTTATTGAGAAAATTAAGCAACATTTTAACAAATAACACAGAAAAATACTTAATAACTACTCCCTAATATTTAGTAACAAAACATATTAGCTGCAATATGTATACATACAAAAAAAAATGAAACACTTACTGTGTTGTACCAATTCATACTGTGCTTTACTTCCTCCCAATGATTATTACCAATGAGTTCAACATACCAAATACTAAAATTAAAACTTGGACCCCAAGCTTGCAGTGGAACTGAGAAATAATAATTTTTTAAATAATGCACAACAGCAGGCCATAGTTGTTGACATACAATGATGGAGTGATGTAAAAGGATGTAGTAAAGTTACAACTATTGACAAATGGTCTAATAACTAACAGTTGGCAGAAATGAAAGTGTGTATTTATACAGCCAGTGCACAAAAAGCATACTTCTTCCACAGATTATCTTCTTTCCATAATATTTTAAAAAGTTAATCACTCATATCTTCTACACTTTTAGAAAAAGACTTGTTAATGCATACCTATTTTGATATATCTACACGGAAAAGGGTTGCCTTCAATTTCATGTCGAAGAAGAAAAGTTTCACTTATGTGATCATTTTTTAAACCCCTAAAAAATGAGCAAAAGCAACATTTTTTAACAAAACAAAAAAATAAAATATTTACAATTTACAGAAAAACTAGATGTGATTGAATTAATAAATAATATTCAATTGTAAAGACGAATGAATGAATAATATTTTTACCCATCTAATAGTTCAATCATATGGTCTTCTGTGAGACCTCCAAAAACTTTAAACTTTCTGAGGTTGCAAACATGAGTCTTTTCATACTTTCCGAAAAGTATGTATTTAACAACAGCCGGCTTCTCTAGTTTCAAAATTAAAAACTGAAAAAAGAAATAAAAATAATTCAAATATATCTCAAGAATCTGTTCAGTAACAGATACAGATCAAACCTTATACATAAAGGGAGAAAAGTAGCATACCTGTGGAGGATTATTTGAATCTGAAGACCATCTTGATAACTGGTCACTTGGACGATCATAATAGATATTCCTGATACAGTGAATACAAATACATAAAAATAATTGTATACCAAGTCTTTCCTGTTTACATAACTATAAAAGTAATTACAACTTAATTTAATTTTTACAATATATCCTAGGAAACCGATAATATCTAAATCTATTTTATTTAAATTAATTGGAAAGAAAAATAAATTTTGCTGTCTATATAGAAGAACATTATTGAAATACTAGTACTAATATTTAGATAGTAGAATCTAGCAAAGACAAATATATTACAATAGACAGCCTACTTTATTTGTATTTTTTGGCACTGAAGACTATTAACTTTTTTCTCATATCCACCTAATAACAACACCATACTTTATACTTAAATGCAAACCAATTTTATATCTATTTCCTATACTTATTGAAAAAATGATTTGCAGGCATTTAAAAATAGCTGGATAAATTTTAGTTTAAGATTTTTTTGATAAGTGAAAATATTTTAATTATGCTGATTAATTACATTATAAAATCTGATTTAATAAAGTACAAACATAGATTTAAAAAATACTTTATTATGCATTGAGTATAAATAAAAAATAAATGAACTTCTCAGTTATTTCCTCAATTGTATAGTGTTATTTTGGTCATAAATTGTAATATGTTAAATGGCATTATGAATAAAAGTAGGTAAAGGATCCTCTCAGACCTAATAGTCCATTGGGCAGATGAAGTTGAGTTCATGTTTCTTGACCTTGGCACATGAAGGGAATGTGTGGTCAGCACTTTTACTTTCCCTTACATGAGTGAGGTACCCAAGAGAGCTCAGTGGACTCAGGGACGTTCTACTGACTTTTACCCGGAATCTAATTCGAGACTTTCAGGTTAGCAGCCTAGTGCTCTATTGCTTAGGCCACGCCATCCCACATCACTAATAATATTACAATAATTAGACTTTTTCTGAGAGTCAGTTATAATAATGGGAATGCTTTAACTATTGTATAATACTAATGGGCCTACTTCCAGCATAACAAAAGCATTCTTTCTTACTCTGGTAAATAGCTGTAGGAATAGCTTGACCATTTGTGGACTATGTACTGAATTTTGTCCTCCCTCTGAGTCAACAGAGTATTGTTATACTGGAATTCTGAAGCGCCAACACTATTTTTTAGCAGAGCTAGGCTTTCTTCCATCTCCTGTAAAAAAATAAATAAAAAAAATTACATTATCAACCATTAGTCAGTAAAATAGAACTGATTCCTGATAAGGTAAGCCTACTAACTACTAGTAGATCTACTATTATACATACTACTACACTGCTGGGCAATCATTAAATTAATATAAAGGATAAAAATAAAATACCCAGGCTAATAATTTAATAATTACTAATAGTAATAGTAATAGTAGGCCTACTAAGTACTAATTAATAAATTACAAAAAAAATAGGCCTAGGCTAGGCCCCTAATATATAAATGTTTGACTGCATATTGTATAGGCCCCTAATTTGACATAATTTTCTGAACATTGAACATCATCAAGTTTTTTTAGATCAATAAACCACGAGTCCAAGTGTCAAAATTAATTGCATAATTCACATTTTTACAACATCATCACAAGTCACAACAACACCCCCTCTCCTTTTGTAATTTAATTGCTGTAATCTACTAATCATGATTGTCAAAAGCCGTTTAGATTGAAATTGTGAGGACCATTAAGTGTTAGGCTGTATTATGCATTAAATATGGATAAGATCTTTCTAATTTACTTGATAACTATGTTCAATTATACCCAAGATTACATGTAAATAAAGGTAAACATTACCTATTTATTTAGATTGTAGTTTTATACTGGCATAGCAAAATTTCTGTGCCAGGTAATACCATAATGCATAGATTAAAAATAAAATCCCTTAAAAAACTCTTTTGGTGCAACGTAAGCACCTGCCCGTATCATTTGAAACTATATTGACTGTCTCAAAATGAATCGCATAAAAAATCATTTTCCATGAATTTTAAAATATCACAGAAATGATTTCATTGTGGGGAAAGAATAATGTAAATGTTACGACTAATTTATCTATCTATCAGCAGTTTTGTTTTACTAGACTTCCTTTCTATATTTACTAGACTTTCTTTCTATTTCACAATAAGGCCGACGTAAAATATAGACTCTAGAATTACAAAACTCACTTCAAGATAAAATTAGCACTAGATCTCTATCCCTTTTGAAAGAGCACATTCTTTTTTAAAAAATAAAATTGCACAAAAGCTTATCCAATCTGGTAATGTGTATTATAAAACATTACAACTCGTTTAGCGATCTATAACAAAACAAACAGAATAAGAAATTTAGAATAATACTTTAAGATTTAAATTGATTAAATATAACTGATTTTTTATTAATAATTTCTATGGAATAAAAGCACACCCATTTCTAAATTGGTTTGATAAGTTCGTAACAACATAATAATAAAAATAACAGATTATTTTAAATTCAATTAGATCTACACATCAATAGCAAATTAAGGGAGTTAACTATAAATCTATTTATTCTGATTCCGTTACTTAAAGTTACCTTTGACAGAATTGTGTTGTAAACAATATAATTAAATATTATGAATAGGCTCTAGGCCTATAAGATTCTAGTCTACCTATAATCTAGATCTAATTACTCTTGAAATACAAGACAACGTGGATAACATAGTCAGTCGTCATTTTAAAATAATTTTTGTAAAATATTTTTTTAGCAGTTCTGAGTTCAGTGATAGAGTGATAGTGAAGTGATACACCTCACTCACCACACTCAGTTGTGACACTGGGCCAGTCTTCTTACTCAACACTCAACACTCTGTCTTACTTACGACTTACACCACACTTACAAATAGCTAGCTAGTAGTAGATCTAGATTTTAGCTTATTGTAATTGTAAGGAATTTAGATCAATAAAAAATACTTTTTATACTTAGGCTTAGGGCCTACTTAACGTACTAATTACTAGTAATTATTATTAAGATAGCCTAGGCCTATTATTTTTTAAATTATTAATTTAGGTCCTTAGGATGTCATAACTGTGAATCTCCTTGTTACTGTAGTTAGGCCTATATTATTTTTATTAAAATTTATTACCTATTAACCATACATTACCACACTACCATTTTCTTTATTAACCATTACTCAACTGGTCTTAGCATCAAATTCAAGTTCTTATTCTTAAGTCCTCAACAAACCAACCTAGCTAGACACATAAACTTCACATAACTTCACAGGGTCGCTTAGGTTCATTTCATGGTTGATTGCAATACAGCCATAGGCCTATAATAACAGACACTAAAAAGACTGGTGAAACCTTCACAATCAAGAAAAAGACTTGACTACATTTACAGCAAGACAAACACTTCTTCCCCCCAGCATGACAAGATGCAGACTGAACTATCCTTCCCCAGCAACACTGATTTTATATTAAAACATCACTCCATTACATACAGCGTCACAAGTCACAATCTTTTACTAACACAAAATCTTTCCATAACACACATACTCTTTTACCTGTACAATACTCTATATTCAATTCATAACAGATTACTGTAGTACTTAAATGTAGTTCTGTTTTTGATTTACTTACCTAACTAATAGGAACTTTGAAGTATCTACCTGCTTAACTAATTTCTAACAACTTAATATGGATTTAAAACTAAATTAGAGTTGCAATTTTGTATATTTTAAATTTTCTTTTATATAACTACCTTTTTTAAAGTTCAGACTTTTTAAAAACAGATTTATTCAGGATTTTAAAGTAATTTAGATTTATTGTACCTTCCCACCACCCTACCAGCTTTTGATGCAGCAGTGCATTAAGTTTTAGCTGTCAAATCTTGTATTTTTAAACCTTTAGCAAACTATAGGGTAGAGAATAACAATGACCGTCAAGTGAATGCTGTACTCCAGTTTAATTGGGAAAAGATTGCCTTGCCCATGTATAGTAAACGGTAATGGACAGCTCAAGATCAGATTACAATGCAAGAGGAAAGAAAGAAGAAAAGTACAAGGGAGATAATGACACCTCTGAATATGGCAGAGATAGGTAAATACAAGATCAAACTACATTGATGAAATTTAAGTGTTGAAATTGAGTTGTGTGATTATTTTCCATTTTTAATTAAATAATGGGACATTTTAATTTAAGTACATGTTTGTGTTCTGAAATAATTTCAAAACTTATGTGAATACTTATATTTAAATTAAATAGGTTCAAGAAATGTATTGTTGCATTTTATAATTCTTAAGAATAAAACGAATGAAAGCTAATTTACATGCTTATTTTAGTTTGGTAGATAACATGTTTATTTCTTTTTTCTCTTCTATATTGTTTTCTTTTTAAATTTTTCCCATTTTAAATTAATTACTTGATTTTAGGTATCAGCCAAGAATGTACCGTGGAGGCCCATCTGACAGCAGCAGGGGAATGGGTGGACGAGGAGGGAGAACTTCAGACAGGTCAAAATATGAAGACAGGGGAGACTACAGAAGTGAAAGGAAGGACAGATATGACCGGGACCTTAAATATGGCAGAGACAGGGCTGACAAAGACAGGAGAGGAGATAGGTACTTGATGTTTTGAGGATTTTTGTTGTTAGTTATTGATAAATAATAAGTATCTGTTTGTTCATTTAAACCGCATGCATATACTATGTGATTTTAATTTTGTAATTTTTTTGTCACAACACTAATACAAATGTTGATCAATTAGGCTGAGGTTAATTTTTAATGGATTAAAAATCTAAGACAGACACTACAACCCCTATTTCAGCCTAATACTGCTTAAACTTTGTATACAAAACCTAATCATTGCCTAAGCATTCTATACATAACCTGAGTACTGCCCAAAATTGTATACAAATCTGATGTGTTATATCTCATTCAAGACGAATGTCTAATTCCAACTTCTTACTTAAGCAGGAAATCATTTGACAGAGATGCAAAAATCCCTCCGCGTGTTGAAGACCGTAAACTTGTTCCTAAAGAGCAGCCTGTTATAAAGAAAGTTGAGGCTGAAACTCCCAAAGGTGAAGAAGAAAAACAGCTGACAGAAGATGAAAAAAAACAGTTGGAAGAGGAGAATCAACGACGGGAAGAAGAAGAACGGGTCAAAAGAGAAGAAGAAGAAAAGGTAAGAGCTGTGAAATTTTTAAAGAAAGATTCCGGAACTAAGATCTTGCAAACATTTCTATTATGTACTGAATTCTTTTGCTTGCATTTAGTGACATTAAAGAATTGTGGTAAGAGCAAAACATTCTTTCATTACATTCTTTCTTTACATTCAGAGTTAATGAAAAACATGACTGTCCAAGTTTCTTAGCAAAAGCATCAGAAGTACACTTCTTGGTTGAGTTTTAAAAGTAATTTGACGTAATTTTATTTGCTTGTTTCAATACTATAGAAAAAAGCTGCTGAAGAAGCAGAAAGGATCAAAGCTGAAGAGCTGGTTAGTAAATAATATGTCTACGACATTAACCCTGTCAATAACATCCCTGCCATTACCCCTCCTTTATTTTCCTCCCATAATTGCCCCATCTTGAAAATAAATGTTATACATGTAACCAGAAAAAAAGAAAGCCTGAAATAGCCTCTGTAGGCAAACAGTAGAATAAGCTTATTCCCTCATAAAAATTCCCTTACCATACCTTACTGAGTTAAATTTAATGTTAGAATCAGGTTATGGGTCCATTTGTAATTGCCTGGGGGATAATTTCCTACTCCAATTTTATGAAGGGTGTGGGAGGGGCAATTGACAGGGGTAATGTTTACTTCCATTAATAATTAAGCAGACTTTTTTTTTTTATAAATCTTTAATAAATAATTTTTATCAAGTTAAAAAAAATATAAACATTATTTATTTTCATTATTTTATTTGAATTCAAAACACTATTTCACTCTATTTCAGCATGCCTTAACAGACTATATAAATGAAACATTAGAAAGAAACAACATCAAAGCAGATGCTAGGGCTATTAATTTGGCAGCCTCCGGTAAGACTGGCATTTGGAAAATAATTATTTAAGTGTTAATAACATACAACAAGATGTAAGTTTTAATAAAAAGTTGTTTTATCAACATGTTTATTATACAATTTATTTTAAGTAGAATCTTTTTCCACTATCAATTTATTTTTTCACTATTACACAGAGAACCGCCCAGACGAATCTTTCTTCACTAAATTAGATTCCAGTTTGAAGAAAAATACAGCCTTCATCAGGAAACTGGTAAACCTTTTTGAAAAAAATACTTTTGTGAGAAAAAGCTCATACTTGAAATTAAAAAAATTAATATTTTGATTACCTAATTAAACTATTGATTGCCATATATTTAATATTTCTTTCAGAGAAATATGACTGAATCTCAGAAAGATAGTTTGAGTAAAGAGTTTTTGGGTTTAAATCTTACTAAATACATTGAGGAAGTGGTAAGAAAGTATTTAAATAGCTATTAGCTTTCTAAATTAATATTTTTAATATAAAAAATACTATTTCAATATTTTATTGAAATTTTACTATTTTAAAAATATTTCTTTGAAATATTAGAAAAGAAAGAATGGTATATTATAAAATTTTTACATTTTTTAAGGCAGGGGCCATCATAGATGCCAAACTCAAAATGACAGATGTTCCTTGTGCTATCTATATTTGTGGTCTTTTACATCAACGATATGCAGATTTTAGTCATTCACTTATTGATGTTTTCAATAAAAATCTTCTATCAAAGAAGGATGAGAAGGTACACATATTTATCTAGCATTGCAATTTATCTAAAGAGTTTAATTTTCAAGTCTTGTCATTGAGTGTCTTATTTGAATACTCCCCTTTTCTTTTAGAAACTAGTTAATAAAAGAAAATTATTGCTTAACCTGAAACTTTAAAAGAAAAGATAAATTTCATACTTAAGTAAATTTTATTATCTATTTTAAAACAGAGTAAGAACACAACTAAATTTTAATTTTTATTATTAATCAATTCTATGTTTGCAAGAATATATTTTGTGTTTAATAAGTTATATTATATTTTCTAGATCACAAATGCTAGCAAATACAGGGTGGATCTGAGATTTCTTGGCGAGCTAATTGCTTATGGGGTTTTTACTGCAAAAGAGGGGTTACCGATTCTAGCCAATCAGCTGTCAATTCTTGTCAACTCAGACAGGGATGAGCACAACTACCTTCCAATCATAACCAGCTTTTGTAAACATTGTGGGGATGACTACACAGGAATTATTCCTAGAAAATTCAGGTACACACTCAACTCATTTAAAGCACATTGAATTTTGACAATTTAAATAATAAAGCAATCAGTTGTTAATAGGGTGACCATCCTCACTTTTGAAACTTTCGTTATTTTCTAGGCTGTTGTCTGAGAAGTACAATATGGATATTTCAAAAAGTCAGGTAGAAGTTCGTTTAAAATTTAAAAAATCATACTTTCTTGTAGGATAAAATTATTATTTTTTAACTTATTGATGTTATATTTGTTTAAAAAGTTAATAAAACCAATAAAAAAAAAAAGTAGTGTAGCAATTTTATAAAATTAAATGGTATTGTAACAATCCTTAATACATGACAGTAGCTCCCACATAGAATGTTATTCTTCTAATGATTGCTTGTTAATGTTTTTTAATTAAGCTCCTGCCACCTGATAGGCAGAAAGGTTGTCGAAATCTTCTAAAAGATTACTATGCATCTTTGGTGAAACATGTTACAACAGCTCACAAAGAGTTGAAGTCAATGGAAAGGCACAATAGAAAAATAATGCAGGTACAATTCCTTATAATAAAACATTGATTTATGATATAAAATAATACATTTCTTTTAATTATCATTTTATTGCTAAATAGTGATTATATAATTAAATGGTTCAAGTTTTTAATGACATTTATTTGGCAGTCTAAAGGCGAAATATCTACTGACAAGAAAGAGGCTTATGAGGCTGCTTTTGCTGTATTCCAAAAACTTTCCTCCAGTGCAACAGTTCTAGCAGTAAGATTAAAAAAACTTATTTATAAAAAAATGTAAAACCTCATTTAAATTTGAATTTATTTTAAATGAATGATTTAACTCTTATATATATGTGAATAGGTACAGTCTCTTACAAATGTATTAAAAGTGGATATTTTTGCATGTTATTTTAGGATCTCTTAGATGAAGATTTTCCTGAATTTCCACAAGAAGGTAGATTTTGTTTGAAATAATAAATTATCTCTCACCTACATAATGAAAGTTTATTTAAAGTTTTTTAAAGATGGTCATTCTTATATTAATCATTTAATCAATCTCATATGAATTGTAACAGAGTACACAGAAGATGGCAATGGTGTTTTGGACATTTTTAATCCATTGAAAGATGCAGAGGTAAAAATGTGTTACACATAAAAAGTTACATTTTTCTAGATGCCATTCTTTTAATAACTGAATGACTAAGTTGTAATTGTTAAAGCATTTGAATTTTACTTGTTTTTTCCCCTTTTCTAAATGTTAGAGAAAAATCAAAATTTATTATTCAAAGTAGTTTTTATAGACTTATTGAAATTTTTTTGGTTAATTGCTTAGCATTCATTTGAAAAAAAAAATATGTGCTTGTCTACATGTACAGCACTAAAATATATCTGTTACTAAAGAGATCCTTTTAAGAAATAATTTAACCCCATACTTTCCATCTATGACTGACAAAATGTGGTTAATCAGTTTCAGTATGACGGGGACAAAACTCTGTTTGAAGATGAAGATACCAGGTCCTTCTATGAGACCTTACCAGACCTGCGAGCTTTCATACCCAGTGTAAGTTGTTTTTAGACAAATACTTTTGATAGAATAACCTTATGATCTAATCACTATAAATACTTATTTACAGTGTAGACTATCATAACAGTGATTGTTCTGTTTAGCTAATCTATTTCTTATTGTAAAATAAGCATTAATCAGCTAAAACTAGATTACTTACTTGCAATCTGAAAGAAAATAATTTTGGCAATTTTCATAATTTTCTACCCTTTTTAAGAAATGTGAAAATATACATGTTGTAGTTTGATGTAATGTGTGAAATTTATAAAAAATATAATCCATAGATTTTGTATAAAGACAGTGAAAACACTCATATAAAAGATGATTTAAAAAATGCAGATACAGGCCTAGAAGAGGGTAAGTCATTTTTATCTCCCTGACTTAAAAATTAATAAATGACCTTTCTTACTAACCTGTGCTTAAAATTTTGTTTTTGATCTGACTTTGTCTCTTATAAAACTTTTGGTAAAATAAAGAAATTTTTTTGTTTTGTGTCACTTTCATCCTTTTCCTAAATGTATTCACTTTATTGCTTGAGCTTTACTGTAGATAGCAAACACTCAGTGGGCTCTATTCTAAATTAAGAAGATAATGAAATCGCAAACTTAAATCAGTGCTCCCATTTTCTAAAACCTATCATGCCAATGATTAGAGTATGTATTTCCTGACAGAGATGGACCAGCTTGCAGTAGATGATATAGAAAAGGAGCTGGAAACAGAGCAGATAGAGGAGACCATGAAAGAGGCAGAGAGGCAGGAGGCTGGGGTGGATGGGGCAGCTGAGGCAGAGGAGGAAAGATTTACTTTACCTGAACCAGAGGGTGGGTCCAGTAGGAAAAAACTATCAATCTATTGCGTTGTTTTACCATCATGGTGTTATTATTTGCCTTTATCAACATAGTCCATCAGTAATGTAACAATTATTATAGTCTCTGTGTGGTGGACACAGAAGTACAAAGTTGACCTGACCTATTTCTTTTCACCAGAGGATGATACAGAGAGTGGAACTTTGTTAAGGGTACAGTTTGAATCTTTCCTGGCTTCATTACCGAATTCCGTCAACAGGGATATCATAGATAAGGTAAGAGTTCTTTTTTATGTTATATTTTTTTTGTGTCCCAAATCCGGTAGCTCAGTAAGGGTAACAGAGTATTTTTTTTGCTGACATTAAATTATTAATTCATTACTTGAGACTGCAGCTGAAAGAAATTATTACTGTAGAGCTCTTAACTAGTGATTATTTAATTGAAAAACTATTGATTTAATTGAAAGTTAATAAAAATAGAGATATGGTTGACTAGTGTGTATTGATTGAAATGGTTTGTCACACTATTTATACAAAAGACGATGTTTCTGTCTGCAGGCAGCAATAGATTTCTGTATGACTTTCAACACAAAATCCAATCGCAAAAAACTTGTAAAGGCACTTCTGTCTGTACACAGAACAAGGTATATGGAAATTACTAACTAGCTTTATTTTTATTTAAAAAAACTGTTAATTTCCATTTTTCCTCCTAAATTTCTAAATACTATTTTTATTACTTTTTGATATTATTGTTAAAGAAATAAATGATGATTCATGTTGCTTCCCATAGCCAGACTGTTTTAATAGTTTAAAAAATGTTTACAACAAGGCTTTAAAGCAGTTTTCCCTTTACATTTTTTTAACAAGCCTAAGAGAAATGTAATTGTTGTGTATTAATGGCAAGATATATGCCAAAAAATCATTTTTTACCATGATGTGTTGGTGGATTTTGAACATATCGGTATATATATATCAAGAAAATAAATGAAAAATTGACTTCTGGGGAAGTAACTAATAGAATAAACAACACTTTTAAATTTAAAAAATCAGTGTTTCATATGATTTATAATCAATAATCACATTTTTTTATTTTTTTATTTCACCAGATATGATCTCTTACCATTTTACTCAAGACTGGTTGCCATATTGCAACCATGTATGCCAGAGCTTGCCTCTGACCTTGTTCAAGCACTCAAATCAGATTTTAAGTGGCATGTAAGTACCATCTTCCTGAATACTAGTTATCCATCAGTTTTCACTTGTTGTTTATCTAAACAAAATTTGATTAAATTCAATCACGATTCTTTTTCCTTTCAGTAATAATTTAATAATTTAATTTGAAAATATTAATTAATCTGAGATAGATTATTTTTGCTTGAAAGTTTATTTTATAATTTCAGGTTAGGAAAAAAGACCAGATAAACATAGAATCAAAGATAAAAATAGTTAGGTTCATTGGTAAGTATTTGTCTCCCATGTATCACATATAGTTAGTATGAATTGTTAAAAACATAATTACACTTAGAGTTGATTGATTCTGTTGTCATATTTTAATTTTCTTTGAAACTTCTCCCCCCTCCTTTAAGGTGAACTAGTAAAATTTAAAGTCTGTCCTAAGATTGAAGCTCTTCAATGTTTAAAGGTAAATAGCTTGATGCAATTGTTTTATATGTAAACAACATGAAAGTTTGTGTATTACTGGACAGTTTTATAAGACCTTTGAAAGGAATGATTATAGTTATTTTTGTGTGTATTACTGGACAGTTTTATAAGACCTATGAATGGAATGATTATAGTTATTTTTTTGTGTATTACTGGACAGTTTTATAAGACCTATGAATGGAATGATTATAGTTATTTTTGTGTGTATTACTGGACAGTTTTATAAGACCTGTGAAGGGAATGATTATAGTTATTTTAGATAATTTTTAAAATTTGTTTTGAACATTGCATTGTATATACAAAATTCTAAAATCATTCAATTTCAAATTATGTTGTTTTGATATTCCTTTATGTAGATGCTGATGTTTGATTTTCGCCACCACAATATTGAAATGACTTGTGCGCTTTTGGAGACATGTGGCAGATTTCTTTATAGGTCACCAGATTCACATTATCGTACAAAGATATATTTGGTGAGTACATTTCAACATTTCACCAACACCCACTTTTTATGAATCTATCAAAATATCTCTTTATTTTCACTGGTACTAGACTAATTTGTTCAGTTGAGTTTTTTAAGTTTTTTTTTTTTTCACATTTTGTGAAAATGAAGGATGTTTATTAAAAACTATGATATTATTTTCAGAAATCTAATTGAATATGCTATTTAAAAAGAAATATAAAAGCTATGAATATTCCCCCCTGCAATTTGCTAAGATTGAATATGGATTTAGCATGTGTTTAGTGGTGAGTGTAAAATAGAATAACCACTCTTGTTTGTTTTTGTAGGAAGTCATGATGAGAAAGAGGTCAGCCATGAAACTTGAACCCAGATATGAGTCTATGATAGAAAATGCTTTCTACTACAGTAATCCTCCAGAGGTTCAGGCTGTGGCTAGGAAAGAGAGGCCACCAATGCATGAATACATCAGGAAACTTTTATACAAGGATCTCTCCAAAGTCACTGTTGAAAAGGTCAGACAGAAAAAGCCTGTATAGTTAATAGCATTTGGCTAACATATAGCTTATTTTTCTGGCATGTACAAGTTTTCTGAAAAGAATTATAAGTTTGTCTCTTCTGATTCTAATAGATCCAATTTTGTAGCATAGTACTTTGAACAATAATTTTAACAATTGTCTGGCTGCAATAACTTTTTTGCAATGTATCACAATGGTGACATTTGTCTTATAGGTTCTTCGTCAGATGAGGAAGTTAAAATGGGATGATCCTGAGGTAAGTAATGAAGTTAAAAAACAACTTTTTTCTCACTTTATCTTATAAACATAATCTAATACATTTTATCCCATGTAATTTTTTCCCCCATATACTTTAAATTTGAAGATTGTGTGTTGATTTAGATGTGATGTTTTTTTTTTTTTTTTTTTTTTTGCAGATTGCTTTTTATGCAACCAAATGTTTGACCAGTGTTTGGAATATTCGCTACAACTCAGTTCACTGTGCAGCAAACTTGTTGGCTGGTATTGCTCCATTTCATGTAGGTTTCATCATACATTATGTGACAGATATTGATGTTAAAAAAATTTTGGAAAAAAAACCCACTTAGATTATAACATTTTTTAAAATCACGTGTTCAGGTACTTTCCAATTAGCAATGTATTGTATATGATAAAATAAAAAAAAACATTTCAATACTGAATGAAAACTATAATTTTAGGAACATGTTGCTATTCAAGTTGTTGATGGTGTGTTAGAAGATATTCGCCTTGGAATGGAGGTGAGATTTTATAATTCACTTTTTTAATGTATTGGTATCTTTATTAAAAAACAAATTTAAAATGATTTGATAGGTTCTATATAAATATAATTTAGTTATACTACCCTTGTGCATAAATTCTAATTATCTTAGCAAGAGCAATTAACTCTCTGATAATGTCTTTATCAATTTTTGTTAGATAAACCATCCAAAGTACAACCAGCGCAGAGTTAGTTGTGTGAAGTATCTTGGGGAACTCTACAACTACAGGATGGTGGAGTCCTCAGTTATCTTCAAGATGCTCTATTCCCTCATTACATTTGGAGTTTCATTTGATGGTATGGATGATTCACTAGTTTATTTGGTAGATTTGATGTGTGGCTGAGATCAAGGCCAATAACTCAGTCCACACCAGGTGTTACTTCAGTTGGGTTTAAGCCTAGTGGATTGTAGTTCGTTCCTGCTGGATGAGCTCCATATAGTAAAAACCTTATGGAGTAGTGGTTTTCATAAGATAATTTATTTTTTAATACATCTCTGTGTTCATTGGAAAAAACTTCTCAGCTGATATTTAGAATTTATTTTTCAATAAGATTTATTATTAAAGAACTAATAAAACACATTTAAAAGGACTAAATTTTAAATAACTTTTTTTTTAATTAAATTTTTCCCAATTTTTTTAACAGATAAAGTTAGCATCTTGGACCCTCCTGAGCACTTGTTCAGAATACGCCTAGTTTGTGTTATTCTAGAAACGTGTGGGCAGTTCTTTGACAAGGGATCCAGCAAAAAGAAATTGGATTGTTTCCTTGTTTATTTCCAGGTTTGATTTTTGTTTTTCTATTAGTTTCCAGATCTGAACTTTTAAAATGTGTAAGGATTTGTGCCCAAGACACATGGGGCAGATGATGTAGAGTTCATCTGTTTCAATGACATTGCTGCTACAAAAATGTGTGGGATAGTGGTATAAATAGTAGGCTACTGAATCTTACATAAAGATGTATTTCTATAAATGTTAAGACCCAGAGGATTAATCTTACAACTGTTGGTTGAATTACAAAATTTAATCTATTTAATCTTCTTTCTACCCTGCTTTATTAATCAAAATCAATTAAAATTCAGGTAATTTTTTTTGTAATTTCATGACATTTTTAGTGAAATTTCTGAGAATGCCAGGAGTTTTTAAACTTTAAAAAAAAATTTGATTAGGTTCATCAGAGCTGCTAGAGTAACCCTGAATTAATTTAATTCATAACCTTCACAAAAACAAATCATCAAAACCTTTTAGTATTTTGTTCTTTTTTAAAATGCTGAACAAACCGCTTGAAAATATACCATTTTTCTCTCTATCCTTTACAATAGAGGTACTATTGGTTCAAGAAAAGTAACCCAGTGTTTGATGAGCAGCATCCTTTCCCTATTGACATAGAGAATCTAATGAATGAAACAATAGAAATTGTCAGGCCAAAGCTAGTACAGTACAAATCTTACCAGGAGGCTTGCGATGCTGCTGAGAAACTGGAAGTGGAATACAAGGCTAAAATTGGTGAGATTATTTCCCTTGGATATTTCATATTTAAATTTTATTTAGGAATGTGTTGGGGAAAAAATGTAGACTTGTTTGATATGCCAGGCTGATCTTTCAGTTAGTACATGTTCTTTCTTTTAATTAGAGCCAATGCCTTGCACCAATTTAACAAAATAATTACTATATTGTCTAGTTTGATTGAGTGTTGTGTTGGTTTTGATTTTCCTAAACACACAAAAAATTTATTTGCCTGTTTCAGAGATCAGCACTAGAAAAAGCCATGTGTATTTGATAAATAATAGTATTCACAATTTAGAAAAAAAAAGTGAATTACAAAAACATAAATCACTTAGAATATGATCTCTTTTGTTCTTTATTTTAACAGCCAGTGTGCTATCTATTATTGAAACTGGCGATGAAGGACAAGATAACGGAGAGGGATTTGATGAGGAGGAAGAGGATGGCCTGTCCACAATTGTTGAAGGTGACGAGATGGACGAAGACCTGACTCTGTCTGGTGGTGTGACAGAGGGCTCCGGGACACAGGACAGTGAGACAAGCATGAGTGGTGCTGATGCTGATGTAAGGGTGCCTTATATCTGTAGTTAAGCTTTGTTGGGAAGATGAGGGTTCATAAGTTGTAAACAATTTATTTTTGTATAGTCGCATTAAGGGTTTATACGGTTGTAGCAATGTATTTTTTTTTAAAGGAGCATTAAGGGAATATGGTGGTTCATAAGTTTTTAACTATGTATTTTTGTATAAAGGAAATATTAAAGTTTATCACTTTTAAACGATGTTTTTTTTTATACAGGAGCATGAAGGAGAAGGAGAAGACGAGGGTTCCTCAAGTGATGAGTATGATGATTCTGATGTTGGTGATGAAGAGGTACACCATAATCTTACTGAGATATTTACTTAGTACTTGTGATATAACAACAGTTGTTACATTTGTACTCTTTTTTAAATTCATGTATACCTAGCAAGAGGTGATTGTATTGTTCTTGCATAGTTTTACAAAAATAAAAAAAATAAAACAGCCTAGAAATTATTCTTTTCAAAACTGTTACAATAAATGGAGTAAATAAAATATAAGCATATTCATTCAAAGGATCTAACATTACTTTTGGTTATCTTAACTTAGGTGAAGGTTGTTAAACCCAAGACGACAACCAGCAAAGAGGATGAAGATTTTATGGCAGCTTTAGACCAGATGATGAATGACACAATCCAGGTATGTTAAGGGTCATGATGTCCTGTTATCTCAGGGTCTTCAGCAGCAATCTGTTACCTTTTATAACATGACAGTAGCATGTGGTAGATTATTACTTGAATGGAAGTTTTTTTTTCTTTTATAGTTTTTTAATCACAAAATTCTTTCTTTGTATCTGTGAAATACACTGGGACTGGTGTTTCAGAATTATTTGGTCTTAGGTTAACTAACTGAAATCTGTGTGAAAAAGTGTCACTTTTAAAATATTAGGGCTGTTTATTATTAATAAGTAGAGTTTAGCCTAGTACTTCGTTGTTGGATGTTAGATGCTAACCAGATTGTCTTGAGTTTATTGATCCCTGACTTGAGTAAGTACGACGTCCCAGCTCTGATGGGTACCTGACTCACGTTTGGCAAAACCTAAAGCAGCTGGGCTTAGTGCTGACCATATCGACTTGTATACCAAAATCGTTAAAACAGATGAACTCTACTTCATCTCATCTGCCCGAGTTGTCTTGGGCACAAAAGGGAAAAGATGATGATGAGTTTAGAATAATAATATGAATTAATAGTTAAAGTAATGATGACTTTGTTTTCTGGAGTATAAATAATTAAATATTGATTTTTTTTTCTTACAGGCTAGAACTCAAGAAGTGATTAAAGTACCACAGTTGGACATAGCACTTCCTACTCAGCTCAAAAACAAAAAGAAATGTACAGGCAACATTATTCCAGGTTAGGATAGATATGAAACTTGGTTAGCTCCCTTGCACGATGGCAAACATGCTATGAAATTATAAACACTGCTGACTTTATTTAGATTTTTTAAAAGAACATTTAAGATAAATGAAGACATAAATTAAACTTGTAGTTTTTATTTGATTTGCAACTATTACTTTTATTCATTAATGAAAGAAAAATTAAAGAAGTACAATTTTTCCTGAATACATTATTTAGAAAAAATTGTACACATGTTTTATAGGAATGAATGTAGACATGGATAAACTTGGTGATAATTTGTTTTAGCCTGGTATGTTTCAGGCCACAGTCCTGCAGACAAGGAGGAAGAAGAGGCCAACTCTGGACTCAAGTTTGTTTTGATGACCAGGAAGGGCAACAAGCAGCAGGTCGGTGCTTGATTCCACTCACTGACCAATCAAATAACAGTGCTTGATTCCACTCACTGACCAATCAAATATCAGTGCTTGATTCCACTCACTGACCAATCAAATAACAGTGCTTGATTCCACTCACTGACCAATCAAATAACAGTACTTGATTCCACTCACTGACCAGTCAGATAACTGTTTGATTCCACACACTGACCAGTCAAATAACAGTACTTGATTCCACTCACTGACCAATCAAATAACAGTTCTTGATTCCACTCACTGACCAGTCAAATAACAGTACTTGATTCCACTCACTGACCAGTCAGATAACTGTTTGATTCCACACACTGACCAGTCAAATAACAGTACTTGATTCCACTCACTGACCAATCAAATAACAGTGCTAGCTTCCAGTCACCGACCAGTCAAATAACAGTACTTGATTCCACTCACTGACCAATCAAATAACAGTTATTGATTCCACTCACTGACCAGTCAAATAACAGTACTTGATTCCACTCACTGACCAGTCAGATAACTGTTTGATTCCACACACTGACCAGTCAAATAACAGTACTTGATTCCACTCACTGACCAATCAAATAACAGTTCTTGATTCCACTCACTGACCAGTCAAATAACAGTACTTGATTCCACTCACTGACCAGTCAGATAACTGTTTGATTCCACACACTGACCAGTCAAATAACAGTACTTGATTCCACTCACTGACCAATCAAATAACAGTTCTTGATTCCACTCACTGACCAGTCAAATAACAGTGCTTGATTCCACTCACTGACCAGTCAGATAACTGTTTGATTCCACACACTGACCAGTCAAATAACAGTACTTGATTCCACTCACTGACCAATCAAATAACAGTTCTTGATTCCACTCACTGACCAGTCAAATAACAGTGCTTGATTCCACTCACTGACCAGTCAGATAACTGTTTGATTCCACACACTGACCAGTCAAATAACAGTACTTGATTCCACTCACTGACCAATCAAATAACAGTTCTTGATTCCACTCACTGACCAGTCAAATAACAGTGCTTGATTCCACTCACTGACCAATCAAATATCAGTGCTTGATTCCACTCACTGACCAGTCAAATAACAGTGCTTGATTCCACTCACTGACCAATCAAATAACAGTTCTTGATTCCACTCACTGACCAATCAAATAACAGTGCTAGCTTCCAGTCACCGACCAGTCAAATATCAGTGCTTGATTCCACTCACTGACCAGTCAAATAACAGCTGAAGCTGCTTTAAAATTCTGTTCACTTAAATGTCACTACTCAAAACCTAACACATTAGAACTTCAATTTTTCTATTTCCAGTTAGTCATATATGACATGGGTAGACCTACCATTAAACCTGTTTTTAACATTTATCAAAGTAAGCGTTTTACTTCTGTTTCTTTTTAAATTACAGTTGACAGATTTTGAAATTCCCATGACAGCAGAGTTTGCTACTAAGTTCAAGGAACGAGAAGAGGTATCTTGTCAACTATCTTGTCAACCATCTAATGATTTTGTCAACTCTCTTGTCAACTAACTTGTCAACCCTCTTGTCAATATTTACTTAAACCAACACAATAGGAGTGAAGTATTACAAAGAACTCCCTCAACAGATACTATACAAATAATGGTTTGACAAAGGAAAAAAAAAAAAGAGGACTGATACTTGTTGGAAACTCCAAACATTTTTAAAACTTACACGTGATATGCAATTCTAATGCTAAATTAATCATCAGTTTTCTTTGATAAACTTATATAGTTATTTTTTTATAAAAACACTTTTAAAAAATACATCACCAAAGAATTTTAAGAGAAAACATTATTTACACAGTACACGAGTTCTTACACCGCTAAAATAAAAACATAATAAATCAACTTTTCAGGCTGAGAGATTAGAAAAAGAGAAAATGAAACAGATGGTCCTTAATTTCCACGAGAGACAGGAAGAAGAAGAATATCAAGGTGAGATAAACTTGGTCCCTGTCTTTGAGTTCTGACAGGTGTAATATAAATAAATCTTACCAGGTCTTACTTAAAAATTTGTTACTTCAAAGCATAAGTTGAGTATTTGGTAGTTTTTCTTGTACACTATTTTGCTCACATCTGTACACATACATTAGATATAGTGATAATGGCTAGTTTATAAGGTAGAATATTTTTTTACAAAAGTCTTGGCTAGTTTAAAAAGTTTAAATTTAATAAAAAAGGTGAAATTGTTGGCTTAAAAGTTTGTTTGTAGAATTATCTTGCTAAAAATCACATATTTAAATTATTTCTAAACAAAACTATTGGCTAGCTTAAAAGTTACATTTTCTTGAACAAAAGTATTGACAGGCTAAAAATTTACAAAATATTCTGTTAGAAAAGTATTGACAACCTTAAAAGTTAAATTTTCTTAAACAAAAATATCGGTCAGCTTAAAAGTTATGCAATTTTCCTTAACAAAAATAACAGCAAACTTTAAAAGTTTCATTTCTTTAACAGAAGTACTGGCCAGCTTAAATCGCACAGCAACGACAAATGTGAACAGAGAGAGAAAAGTCAAATACCATCACCCTAAAGGTGCCCCTGATGCAGACCTAATCTTTGGAAACAAGTAGGTTCTGTTTCTTAACCTTGGTTACTTCCTTGTAAACGTATAGCCATACGTAATCTTATATGGTAGAGCGTTTGCCTCCTACCCCAAAACTATCAAGTTATAGGAAATTATAATATATTAACATATTTAATTGATATTTTAGTTAAGCTTAATAAACATTTTTTATTTTTATTATTTACCAAGATATGCCACAGTGTTTAGCCTAATGTTGTCATCTCTTATAAATTAACAAATATAAATTGAGATTAACACTTATTTGTTTGAAATATCCACCATTATATGTCACAGTGTGTAAACTAATATAGGCATCTCTTATAAGTTAACATTTATAAATAAAGCTTAATGAAATTATTTGTTTCACACATTCACCAGGAAGCGTTGAAGATGATGGGACAATGGAATAGGCTGCTGGTTTAACCCAAAGAACCTGGACACCTGGCATCCACCAGGGGCGTCCACTCTGTGCACTCACAGGTGTCTGCATTACCTGCATTCTTATAATGGGGAAAACAAGTTGCGGACAAACGGTTCAAATGAGTGATGACTTGCGGACCCACCTTCTCCAATAGAAGTAGACATTGTAAACTCTCCATCAGGGACAGCCTACTCTGCTTAAGTTAATCATACGAACACTCAGTTGAAAAGAGCAGGGCTGCCCTGATATAAAGATTTTATAGAATGGCTCAAAAGTGATGGACACTGTTTAAGAATAAGGACTGGATTAGTGATGATGTTGGTTATTAAGGATTGGATTAGAATCTGCTTTTTAAAACTATCTAACTCACCTGTTTGCATACCAAAGGATATTCTTTGAAGAATAGGTTTTTGGTTCATGTAAAAAACAACAACTCAAGTAAATGTTGGAGTGATTTTATTTTTTAATGTTAGGAGAGTCAAGTGAAAAGATTTTTTACTAATAGTGACAATATTGTTGCTATATGCTAAAAGTTATAAATTAATAAATTGTGGATAAATTGTGGATAAATTGTAATTTTATTACATGAATTTCTTAGGTTTTTTTTTTTGTTTATTTAAAATTTTAGACAAATGGATATGTTTTTAAACTTGCTTTGTTTGTTACATGGGCTGATTGTTTAAGACAACTCTGATCTTTCAATTCTTCTTTGATGCATGTAGATATAGATTTAAGAGATAAAAAATATGTTATCAATCTGCTAGGAGTTACGGTTAATTTTGAATGTTTCACAATTCTAATAAGGTCTAATTTTTCAGAATGGTAGATAGTGTTACAACTACTGTTTAAAAAAGTATATATTTCTGGAAGATTAAATTATTTGAAAATGAATTTTTATCCAATCCATCAATGCCAGTATTTGAATTTCTTATAATTAATTTTTTTTTTAAATTTTGCCTGCCCCAAAATCTTACCTCCCTTTCATTTTACCACTCCCCTTTTGATGAGGTTCCCAAAAACCAACATTACTTCCCCTGGTGTACTTTGCTTTTAAAAAAAAATGTTTTATAAACTGATGATTTTTAGAAAATAAATAAATCAGGTATTGCAACTTTTTAGTACTTTTAACTGTTTTGAAAAAAAGATCAATTTACATTCTTACTGTAAATATATTGAAATTTTTTTCCTGCAGTTTTTATTTTAAACAAACCAATGTAAGGTTAACTCTTTCATATAAGGATTTTTCCCTCTACAACTTTTGAAAGTTTATTACAGACAGTAGAGAATCCTTGCCAACAGTATCCATGGCAGATACTGTTGCCTGTTACTTTGGAAGTGTGGCCGGCATCAATGCTTTTAGTATCTAGTGTTAAAAATTTCTTTCCTAAATATCTGTAGTTAATCTGTAGAATTTTGAGAAGTTTTCTAATATTAAAAAAAGTATTTGTATTAGAATTGTTTTTATTCAGTAAAATAGATTTGGTTTGATAAGGGGGAAAAAAATCTGGAAATGTAAGCAAAAAATTGTTGATGTTTTGAAACTATTTTATTCTTTTGGTGGTTGAAATGTGTTACTATTTTGGACCATCCTTCAGAAAGAAGGGTGCATAATAAAAATTAATTTAAACTTGATCTTTGTTGTTAAAAACTTGCTTGATATTGATTAATGGTTGTATCTATGTATCTTGTAATGGACACTGTGTCTCTCCCTGCTTAGATTACCTGTTGAACCTTTCTGTGATTATTTCAGTGTAGACTATATAACAGGAAAAATCCTAGATTAATGTAATCTAACATTATAAGGGTTCGTTCATGTGTGATGTTGCATACATAAAATCCTGGGCTAGTCTCTCCAACTGTCCCCAGGTGTATCCTGTCCTTGGCTAGTCTCTCCAACTGTCCCCAGGTGTATCCTGTCCTTGGCTAGTCTCTCCAACTGTCCCCAGGTGTATCCTGTCCTTGGCTAGTCTCTCCAACTGTCCCCATGTGTATCCTGTCCTGGGCTAGCCTCTCCAACTGTCCCCAGGTGTATCCAATCTCCTTGGTGTCTTCTTCCAGGTCATGTCTCCAGGTCTTTCTTGGTCTGCCTCTCCTCCTCCTGCCTTGTGGATTCCATGTGAGGGCCTGTCTTGTTAAATACATAAATACATAAAATAGTGTGACGTAGTTGAAGGCTTCAACTACAAAATTAAAAGGAAAAAAAAAACGGTCAAATGTCAATCCACACACCCTCAGTATTTTTAAGAAAGATTACGCAGCCTTATTTTCTAATCATAAAATAGTTTAGTGTACCTGCCAACACATTTTGTGGAAATAAACTGCCTTCGATTGCGCAAAGGAGCTATCAAGCAATAAACTACACCATCAGTGCTGATGATAAATCCTTCCTGGCATATTGCTAAATTGGCAACCTAATGGCCAGGAGAGAGGCGAAATTGAGGTTTAACAGTTTAATGAGAGCTGACGCCTTATCTGGCAACTTGCAGCACGACGATATTGGAGATTTATTTTCTGGTATGTTCGCAGAACTAAATTATCTGAATTTTTTATGACGAATTATGTTCTAGGTGGACCTTGTATAGATTTTTACTCCTATAATACATAGACACATTTTTTTTTATGAACGTATTGTTCGTAAAGCTACATTGTTTTACTATTTTTGAACATCTTTAGATATGGTTTAAAAAAAAAAAAAAAACTAAAAAAAAACAACGAAAGGCATGGTTGTATATTAGGGCTATTTCTAGTAGTTATAAATCGGTTTCCCTTCGAAAAAAAAAAATGCAATCATCTTTACTTCTAGTTCATGGACGCTCATTATGTCCACATACTCTATGAAATACTAAATAGCATCCAACTAGGAAAATAAAAAATTCGAAACAGCGATACATTTAGTAACTAATTTAATTACGGTAGATGATTCATCTTGTTTTGAAAAAGTTTGTTACACAATTTGGGTCCAACTTCTAATGTTGTGACTGCGTGGAGACGTTAATAAATCCCAGGTGAATTTGTCAGCTGCTCATTTTATTTTGATTTGCTAATTGAATATTTCCGATACCACACTTCTCCCAAGTAAGTAGTGATGTCACACTTCTCTTCAGTTAAAGGCGAGAACACACTTCTCCCTAGTTAGAGGTTAGACCACACTTCTCCCTAGTTAGAGGTGAGACCACACTTCTCCCTAGAGAGACCACACTTCTCCCTAGTTAGAGGTGAGACCACACTTCTCCCTAGAGAGACCACACTTCTCCCTAGTTAGAGGTGAGACCACACTTCTCCCTAGAGAGACCACACATCTCCCTAGTTAGAGGTGAGACCACACTTCTCCCTAGTTAGAGGTGAGACCACACTTCTCCCTAGAGAGACCACACTTCTCCCTAGTTAGAGGTGAGACCACACTTCTCCCTAGTTAGAGGTGAGACCACACTTCTCCCTAGAGAGACCACACTTCTCCCTAGTTAGAGGTGAGACCACACTTCTCCCTAGTTAGAGGTGAGACCACACTTCTCCCTAGTTAGAGGTGAGACCACACTTCTCCCTAGTTAGAGGTGAGACCACACTTCTCCCTAGAGAGACCACACTTCTCCCTAGTTAGAGGTGAGACCACACTTCTCCCTAGTTAGAGGTGAGACCACACTTCTCTCTAGAGAGACCACAACTTCTACCTAGTTAGAGGTGAGACAACACTTCTCCCTAGTTAGAGGTGAGACCACACTTCTCTCTAGAGAGACCACAACTTCTACCTAGTTAGAGGTGAGACCACACTTCTCCTTAGTTAGAGGTGAGACCATACTTCTCCCTAGAGAGACCACACTTCTCCCTAGTTAGAGGTGAGACAACACTTCTCCCTAGTTAGAGGTGAGACAACACTTCTCCCTAGTTAGAGGTGAGACCACACATCTCCCTAGTTAGAGGTGAGACAACACTTCTCCCTAGTTAGAGGTGAGACAACACTTCTCCCTAGAGAGACCACACTTCTCCCTAGTTAGAGGTGAGACCTCACTTCTCCTTAGTTGGAGGTTGTGAAAATGAGACGACCAGATGCGGTATTGGAAAAGCGAGGCTTAAGCTAAGCCAACGAAAAGCTCTTTTAAAAAAATCTTAAAGTGCACTAGTTTATTTTTTAATGAATGAATTCATTTCATTTTGTTCTGTACTCACGCAGGCACAACGTACACAATGGAAAGAACGGACAGACAGTCCTCCCTACAACGGTCTCAGTGCTTGACGTTCTCATTCCTGTTTTGTATTTCACTCTCACAGTTTAACCGCATCAATAATTGCTAAAGCAGTCATCAACCACTCACCCCCCCCCCCCCATCCTCCTCTATCGTATCGTTCACTTCCTTCATCCTGTCACCTCCCCTCCCACCCCACCCCGTCCTAGTTTACGATATCGGCGGTTATGTGGCGGTCTGAATACGGGCAGGACGTGTATCCCTAGCACCAGTTCCATTGGGTTGTTCCAGGGGCCGTTCGATCCGCCGGGACGCTGTGCGGGATAGTGCTCTCCCTTTAAACGCGAGAGCGAGTTCATTCCCTTTAAACGTCAGAACGAGTGATTTCCCCTTATTTTTTAAAAACCTGGACTATGAACGTGTTTTGTTCGTGTCGCGCTTTGTTCACGCGTGTGGTTTAACACAGTAGACAAACTACACACATGCATTCACAAAAATGATCGTGTCGTTTGATCACAGTTTAGATGGTAGGGATATTTGTGTGTGAAGTATGGAACAGGGTCGAATAAGGATCATCGTTTCATCACACTTCGTAAGGACAAGCCAACGAGTGCAGGATATTTCGGGATTTTGTAACCGAGTTTTTCATTGGATAAAAGAATTCGACGGTGGTTTCCTTGATTAGAGCATCAGGTGAGTAAACCAATTATACTAATTTAGTAGACTTGTTTCGATTTCTTGGAATTCCCGTTCTTCATTTTAAGAAACAAAATAACCTACAGCGGATCTACACAAAGTTATCGTTCCTAACAAAATATAGTCTGCATGATGTGTATAAAAAATAAGAGTTAAAAAAATAAAAAAATAAAATACAAAATAAAGATTTTCTCTACTGGAGACTATTTAAAGTGAGATTTACACGGTGAAACTGACAAAGTGAGACTCGTAAAGCTGCAATAGCATAGTGAGACTAACATTAAGGAGACTAACATTAGTGGGACTGACAGAGCGTTGCTTTCAAAGTGAAACTAAACCAAGCGAAAACATGTAGAATAACCCAAACACAATCGCATGCAACAAAAAAATAACTACGTCTGGCTTTTCCCGAAGAGCCCGCAAAAATGTCCTACAAGCCCTATCAATACAATCTTAACATGCACATACCCTACATATTAACGAATATCTAAACCTCACTTATTTTTACTTATTTACACATTTGTTCTTACTAACCACACTAATAGACCACATACGCATTCGCTATGACCACACACGTATTTTTTTCCTCAACACTTGAATTTGTAGGACTTCAGTACTAGTAACGAGCAGCAAAAAAAAAAAAAAAAAGGCCATTAAAACGTTGCAGTATTGATTTCAATCACCACCAATCTCCGCCTTCACTGATGAATCAGCAAAAAAAATCTAAACAACTAGCGTATCACTTGTGATATTTCTATTGACTCTTACACCCTCCCCCGTACGTCTTCAGTTGTTCACACCCCACTCCCCTGTTCAACCACCCCTCCCCCACTCCCCTGTTCAACCCACTCCCCTGTTCAACCATCCCCTCCCTACTCCCCTGTTCAACCCCCTCCCCCACTCCCCTGTTCAACCCCACACTCCCCCACTCCCCTGTTCAACCCCACACTCTCCCACTTCCCTGTTCAACCCCACCTCCCCAATCCTCTGTTCAACCCCCCTCCCCGTCCAAGCCCCCCCCCCCCCCACACAGCCAAACATCACTGAACCTACTGATGTTACTATTGTATTTCCGCCACCCACCCACCACCAATTTCCCTTCCATGAATATCCAACAGCGTCGTGATCATTTTGTCATGTTTCAATGATTAATGTCATGTTGGAGACAGCACCCCCCCTCACCCCCTCACCCCCACACACCAGCCCTCTCTGCTTAATTCCAGCAATGTTCCGGGCCACCAAATCTCATCGAATCAATGTCTGTTCAGATTTGTCAACAAAATTTAATCATGGCATTGGCGTTCGTTATATATTAATTAATATATGTAAAGCGCGCCAGTGTATGTGAACTGTCGGCACGCTCTCATGATGTGAGCGTTGAATAAAAATGTCCATTCATAGAACTTGAAATAGCGAACAAAATGCCTTCTCGCGAAAAATCGCAAAAAATTATTATCGCACGTGAAATGTCCATTCTTCGACCTTGAAATATCGAACAAAATGTCTTCTCGCTAAAAATCGCATAAATATAATATCGCACGTAAAATGTCCATTCATAGAACTTGAAATATCGACAAAATGTCTTCTCGCTAAAAATCGCGAAAATATAATATCGTACGTGAAATGTCCATTCATAGACCTTGAAATATCGAACAAAATGTCTTCTCGCTAAAGGTTTCTCAAAAAATTCTCCATTCATAAACCTCGAAATATCAAACAAAACTTCCATTTTTCTCATTAAAAAACATTACAATAAGATCTTCATTCTTCGTTGCAATTTCACGATAGAGTTTCTACTTTCTTCCGTTAGGTTCTTGAATTAGTTATCAGTCATTACTTTCCTACATTGCTATACCACGCAAAATGTCTACACCACTCTACTGAAATTTTGCAGAAAATCTCGACATTTCTCAATTTAAAAAAAAAAAAAAAAACTCGTCCAAAATTAATGTCTGAACTCGTCTCTTAAAATCTCGAACAAAATATCCACACAGTATTTTAAAATAAAGACATTCACATTTTTTTCTCGACCCCCCCCCTCTCCCTCAATCTCATTCACACACTTTTAGTCTGCGTATTTCACTGCGTCATTTCCGGAATATTTGATTCGACTGCAAGAATCCTCGAGGGAGACGGCAGCACAAAATCAGGATTCCCTCCTACTACTCCTATTGATCTCGGAAACGTTCGGCCACTCTAAACACTGAGGGAAAAACTTACAACTGACAGACAGTTCTCTCTCTCAACCACGTCATTAGCATTGGTAATTGTACTGTTTTTAAATACTCGCCCGACTCAAATCTGAATTTGGCAGCCTTTTTAGACTACGCTGATGTGTAGATGAATTTAATATTCCCATTGTGTTGTATATTTAATTATGGATGCTGTTTATTTAATGTAGACTACATTTGGCTTGCATAATGATAGAAGCGCTATATTCATTTAATGAATGTTGTTCTACAATCACTCAGTGAATGCGGCGCTTGATTAGAATACTGATTTCTATTGCAAATAGACATAGTAAATGCAATAATTTGTTCACAAAGTTATTGCAGTTCTATAGTAAACGCAACGTTGTAGTCTGTATTCAACCAACGATTATATTTCTATTCCAACTATTATATTTTTTTAGTGAACCTAAAGGTTGGTTCCTATAGTGTTGTATTCCTATAATGAAACTAATATTGTAGTCCTATAGTGAACAATCTATTATATTTTTATAGTTACCCAAAAGCTATACTCATATAGTGAACTAATAGTTATATTCCCATAATGAAACGAATCTTGTAGTACTACAGTGAACCCAATTTCGTAGTACTATAGTGAACATAACATGATTTTCTTATTGTGAACCAACTGTTATACTTTTATAGTGAACCAAATGCTATATTCCTATAGTGAATCAAATTGTTGTATTCCTATAACTAAACTAATGTTGTAGTGAAAAAATGATGTTGTACTATAGTGAACCAAATATGATATCCGTATTAATAACTGTTATACCTTTATAGTGAACCAAATGCTGTATTCACAAACTGCTTGTTGCTTCAACGCTAAATTGATCCCATGCTTTCCAGCATACTTAGCATAACCATCACGATCTACTTTACAACTCTACAACGACCAGCATGAAACCCCATTATCATCTACTGTACCACCTATCATTTATTGACAAGCTCAACATATTCCATACTAACATTTTTCCTGAGTCTATTTATAGAAATAAAAATTGCATTAGCCGTGTTTTAGAAAAGCGAGGTTGCCTTTTATTAAAGAGAACTCTTCATCTCTGTTTAGTCCGGCTTTCAAGTTCATCAAATATTTATGGGTGAAAAAAAAACAACTTTCAGAGAAAATGAATTGTTTCTTGTCCAATTATCTCCAAATAGCCATCGGGAGTTGGTGGGCGTTTAGCTGTTAGCACGCTGAGTAGACGATCAAGGGAGTGTATGGAGTCTTTGACCTGCCAGTAGGAGGGAGTTCGTGTACAATCCATTCGATAGTTTCTATCAAGGATCTCTACCCACCTATTTGCTGGGTATGTAATGAAACCTCGATGGGGTCCCTACAATATATTGGGATCTCGTTACTTCCCTTCTGTTTATTATAGTCCCTGCCGGATTTCTGTTTACTTGGACCCCTGGATTCATATACAATATTCTGTGATCCAGCTGTGATATATGGTCCTCTGAGATCCACTTGGTATATTAGAATTATTTGGGATCCACTCGGTATACTAGCTTGTCATCTGGGGTCCAATTGGTGTACTAGGTTTTCATCTGGGATGAATTAGATTTTCTAGCTCATCATCAGAAATCCACTGAATATACCAGCTTATATGTTTTATTTGCTACAGGAAATCTATTATCTTCTATTGTGCCAACTATCGTGCACAAAGTCTGATCGGTATTTTATCACATTCTTATTGTTAGGTTACAATCTTTATTCTTCTGATTATCTGTCCGTTTGTCTGTCTGTTTGTCTGTCTGGTTGTTCAGTTGTGGTCAGATCTCGTAACTCAATTTTGGCCCATGGGGTGATCTTTTTCCAACCTTGCAAATTTCAGATAACCATATTCAAATATATTAACTGTGTTAATAAAGTATAACATATTTACCTACTATTCTTCAAATGCAGGCTTTAAATTAACAGACTTACCTATAATATTACTAATATGTAACAAACCCACCTACTAAATTATAAACGTATAATACATTTACTTACTATATTACAAATGTATAACAAGTTAACAAACTAAATTACAAACCTAACAACTTAGTGTACTATACAACAAATATATATATAATAGATTTAGTACATTTACCTACTTATTGAAAAAACATTTTAAAAAACTTAACCTATTATACTACAAATGTGTAACATATTTTACTTCTCTATTACACAAATACATATTAACTTTAACTACAATTGTTACAAACGGGTGTGAGAAAATTAAAATCTCAGTTCTGATGGTGCCAGACTTGTAAGCCGTTGCCGAGCACACATTCACATCTTTACGTGCTCACACAAAAAAAAACCGGCATTAAATATTTACCTCCCTTTTCTTGAGATCTCGACGTGGATGCCGTGATTCGTGACGTCATCGCCCACCTGACCCAGCCCAGGTTAATTACTAATTCATCGACTGGTTAATGATTTCTGCTCCGCCATTTTTCGGTGCTAATTAAGAACATGTGAGACGGAGGCACTTAACGAAGCTGTGAATGAATACATTAACTCCTGCACCTTGGTGTGACGTCATGCAGGCCTGGTTGAATTGTTTTTTATCGTAGTGCTAAAAATTATGGGCTTCTGATTTATAATACACGAGGTGGGCTTTTGAAGTTCACCGTCTACAAAATGGGCTTTTAGAACCGTCGAGAAAACCAAAAAGGGCTATTTTAGCAGTTTAGCAAATTCAATTAAAAAAAAACCATCCATAAAAACAACAACAAAATCGCCAATCATCGCATTGAACAAGAGCACTACCATTCCGC